TTTCAGAATAAATGTTAAGAGATGTAGATCTTGAGTTCCATATAAGTTAAAAGTAATTTTCAGAAGTAGAGAAAATGAATTCCATCCTATTCCTAAAATTTTGGGTAAGAAAATCCCTTCCATCTAAAATTAAATTTTAACTAATAATCGAATTCGATATACGATACATCCAGAGAAATATATACTTATATTTTCCGATATGAATTTTTGAATAGACTCAAATATTCCGATAATCATGGGTCCTAATCTCCAAATCTTGAAAATTTCGGTTGGAGGCAACGTAATTTTTTCATACGAATTTTATAATGAGAAATGATATCTTTTCGAAAATCACTTTCAATTTTAGAGGTATATCCATAATAATATAAACCCTTTCATTTATTCCAATATTAGAGGGGACCCATCGATTCCATCGACGATACATACGTCTACGAAGCTATTAAAGTGCAAGGGCAGTCCGAGAAGCATGGGTCTAAAGCGAACTATCATGTGCATGCCAGCGAATAGCTCACGTAGAATTGAGAACGCGGCCTACAAGGCTGCAGTCCGATCCGGCCAGGAAGGAGCCTCAGAGCTGTTTAACTAGCCCACACAGCGCGCAAGCTCTGACCCGCAATGCAATAGTGTGTTTTTTTTGCTGTCAAGCGAACGCAAGCAATATTCATGCCCGGGCCGGCGTAAGCTGCAGGACTTCTCGATACACAATATTAAGCGTGTAAATAGAAGCGTCCGCGGTCACACCCTAAACATCAGAAGCTTCCAATAGCACACGGAGTCGCGCGCTCGAGCCAACACGAGACAATGCCACGTAGAGCTACCCATGAGCGAAAACAAGATTCAGTAGGAAGAGGCCAGCACCTAAGCATTCGACAACTAGTCGTGGCTAAGCAAGCAAACGCAAAGAAAACATGCCTAGGCTGTAGTCAGAAAGACACGGAGAACTGAGGTGCTGGCGTTGCATAATTTGGCCCTGAGCACGGTTGATGGTCATAATCCAGGCCAACCGCACCGGAAATTGCCGCCGCATCAATTTGACTGGGAGCACATAATCAGAAGGGCTCATTGGGATCCGCGGCAAAAACGTACGCTGCCCGGCACAGCGGCCACTCAACAAGAGCACATCAAGGACGCGCGGAGAGATATCAATAATCAGAGCGCGTGTGCCGTTGCAAAGCCCTCCCTCGTAGTCGACGTTCCGCAGCAAAGCCACGATAGCTCCGCGGCAAAGTCGCAGCGCAGCCGGTGGCAAGCCAGGTAAGTCCAGTGAATTCAGATAATCGACCAGATAGGTCGCATAGTCTTCCCGTGTCCCCCCTGGATAGTCGTAGCGCAAGGCAATGTGTGGATGCCTTCCGCAGGAAAGCCCGCCAAAACAGCTTCGTTCAAGTCATGCACGTGCTCGTTTCGAGGTGTCAAAACCGCTCGCAGAGCGAGCTGCTGCAGATTTTCCTTACAGGGGTCGGCGATGGCACGCTCGGCCGCCGCGATCACATCGTCGTACACTTCTTCATCTCGATGCCCTTCAGGCCCAGCGCATCCCGACGGCCCGCGCCCGACACACCATGAGGAGCAACTGCCGGATCAACAAGTTGCAGCGCTTCAAACAGAGAGCAGCACTGCCGCACGCGCCCGGCGGCCCATGGAACCCTGCTTACAAAGTCACAAGCACGTGTTTTGTAGGAGTGTCTCCATGGGATATATGCTGGTGCGTGAAGTCCTTCAGGTCGGGCAGGGTTGAGTGTGGTGGGTCGGGGCTCACGGCCGATGGTACATGGAACCCTGCTCACAAACACGTGTTTTGTAGGAGTGTCTCCATGGGATATATGCTGGTGCGTGAAGTCCTTCAGGTCGGGCAGGGTTGAGTGTGGTGGGTCGGGGTTCACGGCCGATGGTACATGGAACCCTGCTCACAAACACGTGTTTTGTAGGAGTGTCTCCATGGGATATATGCTGGTGCGTGAAGTCCTTCAGGTCGGGCAGGGTTGAGTGTGGTGGGTCGGGGCTCACGGCCGATGGTACATGGAACCCTGCTCACAAACACGTGTTTTGTAGGAGTGTCTCCATGGGATATATGCTGGTGCGTGAAGTCCTTCAGGTCGGGCAGGGTTGAGTGTGGTGGGTCGGGGCTCACGGCCGATGGTACATGGAACCCTGCTCACAAACACGTGTTTTGTAGGAGTGTCTCCATGGGATATATGCTGGTGCGTGAAGTCCTTCAGGTCGGGCAGGGTTGAGTGTGGTGGGTCGGGGCTCACGGCCGATGGTACATGGAACCCTGCTCACAAACACGTGTTTTGTAGGAGTGTCTCCATGGGATATATGCTGGTGCGTGAAGTCCTTCAGGTCGGGCAGGGTTGAGTGTGGTGGGTCGGGGCTCACGGCCGATGGTATATGGAACCCTGCTCACAAACACGTGTTTTGTAGGAGTGTCTCCATGGGATATATGCTGGTGCGTGAAGTCCTTCAGGTCGGGCAGGGTTGAGTGTGGTGGGTCGGGGCTCACGGCCGATGGTACATGGAACCCTGCTCACAAACACGTGTTTTGTAGGAGTGTCTCCATGGGATATATGCTGGTGCGTGAAGTCCTTCAGGTCGGGCAGGGTTGAGTCTGGTGGGTCGAGGGTCACGGCCGATGGTACATGGAACCCTGCTCACAAACACGTGTTTTGTAGGAGTGTCTCCATGGGATATATGCTGGTGCGTGAAGTCCTTCAGGTCGGGCAGGGTTGAGTGTGGTGGGTCGGGGCTCACGGCCGATGGTACATGGAACCCTGCTCACAAACACGTGTTTTGTAGGAGTGTCTCCATGGGATATATGCTGGTGCGTGAAGTCCTTCAGGTCGGGCAGGGTTGAGTGTGGTGGGTCGGGGTTCACGGCCGATGGTACATGGAACCCTGCTCACAAACACGTGTTTTGTAGGAGTGTCTCCATGGGATATATGCTGGTGCGTGAAGTCCTTCAGGTCGGGCAGGGTTGAGTGTGGTGGGTCGGGGCTCACGGCCGATAGTACATGGAACCCTGCTCACAAACACGTGTTTTGTAGGAGTGTCTCCATGGGATATATGCTGGTGCGTGAAGTCCTTCAGGTCGGGCAGGGTTGAGTGTGGTGGGTCGGGGCTCACTGCCGATGGTACATGGAACCCTGCTCACAAACACGTGTTTTGTAGGAGTGTCTCCATGGGATATATGCTGGTGCGTGAAGTCCTTCAGGTCGGGCAGGGTTGAGTGTGGTGGGTCGGCGTTCACGGCCGATAGTATTGCGGAGACACGCGCTGCAACGTTGTGCGAGGCGGACAAGCAATGCAGCCAACAGCAAGCTCTCCCTGGGTTTGGGTTTAGGGGTTAGGGCTTGTGCGTGTCCACGGCGCTACATCAATGAGCACAGAAGCCGGGCCTGATCTGTACCGCCGGAGCATATGGCGCTTGCGCGCGGCAGTCCTCGGGGCAAGCCAAGCGGGTGCGGAGAGACACCACAATAGACATCTCTTGCTTTCCCTTTCCCTCTCTCGCTCTCTCTTCTCTCACTCGCTCTCTCTTTCTCTCCCTCTCGCCCTCTCTCGCGCTCTCTCTCTCCCTCTCTCCATCCTTGCTCCCGGCATGCCTACTGCCACTGTAGCAGAACGGATGGAATGAGGTCTGGGCACTGCGACCTGCCAGGCATCCCAGACTCGGAAGGATGACATGAAGACCTGCAAGCATTGCAGCTTTGTCGCGACTAACTCGAGCAACATGTAGCATTAGCGAAAAGAAACTCGACAACTTGGGCGGAAGGCCCACAGCACACAGCCGCTGGCGAAGAACTACAGCATGGTGCCGCTGCACAAGCGCGAAAGGTCAGATGGTCTCTGCATTAATCTTAGTCGTGGCCAGCATGCTGCCAAGTGGAAGTGAGCGTGCGAACATGTTAAGTCTGCCCCTGCGGATGTGTGATCATGAAGCTGACCCCACTTGAGCAGCTTGAGCAGCTGGCGGGCAGCGACCGTCAGCTCAACTTCCCTGTAGCAAGAGCTCTCTTGCAGACCTTCTCTGTTGCGTTGGAACCTTAAAATCCAACCTGGCAAGCCCAAACCTCAATCCGGGTGATTCCTAAAATTCCGGGAATTTTCAGCTCCGGGTGATTCCCAAAACTCCCAGGATTTTTAGACAATAAGCGTTAAAATTCCCGGAATTTTCAGGATCCCCCTGCAAGGCCCTCACAAGCAGCCAAATCGACCGGAAGAGGAGGCGGGGCATCCGACAGGGCGGCCGCAGAGCGAAAATAGGGGTCGAGCCCGTAGCCTTTTATGGGGATAAAAAATATTGGATTTCATGGCCGATGCCTTGAAATGAATGGAGGCACTTATCATACATATGATTTGTGATTATTTCTCGTATTTTTTCGGTCCATCATTGACGTTTTGTTTCGTTCTAAATTGGTTTTCGTGATGTTGAGATATGAAATTAAATAATCGTAATGACATGATGCCTCTCCTTCCCAATCATGCTATGGCTCTCTAGGCATACAGTGAGCCAATGGCTAAGAGGTCGCGTAGCTTTATTAAAATTACACCTATCATTTCCAAGTTGTCTCGCGATAAGTAACCTTCAATAGTGTCTCTTTGTGTCCATGTTGTCGTATGCGCCACCTCACGTGAGCTGGAATATCTTGGGCATCATGCCAAGCATGTTAGGCCGGCTTCGAGCCCGATCGATAGATTGTCGTCGCATGGGGACGCCCCAATAAGCCACTAAAGACGCTTCACCCAAGCGCGCCGCTTGGCTATGCCAAAGCGGGCGGTCAAGCATTTCCAAGGCACATGCAGTTGCTGCTGGTGCTATGGAGAGCTCAGCTCGACACGCTCGGGCAAGAAAGAACTGAAACCACCACAGTCCAAACGAGAAAGACCGAAGGTAGCACCAGACTGGCAGTACATGGGCAGGAGGCAAGGCCAGCTAAGGGCCGGCCCTCTCAAAGAGTTCTGCTGGAGATTGCTGGAGCCCCAGGCCCTGGGGTCGACACTCACTCCGTGTCCGGAAGTCGGCATTGGGCGTGTCTGCGTCTCCGGGGTGCACCCACCGTCTTGGCCAAGTCCCACACTGCCAGGAAGCCTCCCATGATCACCTCAGCTTGGGCTTTAGCTTGGTTTAGGACGCCTTGAAAATGGAAGTGTCGAATTCTTGAGGGAATGAGTCGGCGTTCAACTCGCCGTTGTCCTAGGCTTGGGAAGGAATTGAGCTTTTGACAGTCAGTTTTGTATCGTTTTGTGGTTCGTGGGCCCGGAGAATCTGCAGGCTATCACACAAGTCTTTCGAAACATGCGAGGGCCGCCATGACCGCTGTCATCACGAAGGACATCGCCAAGCTTGCGAAGGCAAACCAGGACCACTTGAAGAAGAAGATGTCTACAAAGCCCAAGGTGAGCTCCGGGATGTCCTCGAAGAGCCGGAGGCCCTTCTCCAAGGGATCTCGGTCCTTCTGGAGACGCTCGACTTCTTCCTCGCCCTCAAGATTGCAGGCGACCAAGACGTTGAAGAGCGGCAGCTCCATGCTTGCGGACTTGACGGCATCCTGTAATTGAGGCCTGCCGTGGAAGCTCACGACGATGGCAGCATGGAAAAGCCAAGTGGTGAGCAGCATCATGGGCACCATGAGGGCCATCACCACGGTGGCCGGGCCAGTGCCCTGGAAGCCGAGGATCAGAATGGTACCGAAGAGCAGCATCAGGACTGCGAATGTCGAGGCGAACGTAATCACAAAGCATCTGTTCAAGTAGCCCTGGTCCTTGCGCACCAGGCGCACGTGGAAGAGCACGGTCCATGCGATGGTCATGGCAAGAGACACTGTGCCCAGGGACCAGAGCACAGCTGCCAGCTCCCGGCAGCCCAAGCTCACGCATGCCGGGGCCGACTGCTTGCGGAAGACGTCGAAGGCGATGCGGTTGACTTCGGTGAAGCCGCCTGTGTCGACGACGCAGTTGTCCAGCTCACCTTAAACGAAACATAAGCGAAATCGTCACAAGGCAGCAGACCTGCGGCCCTACGATGCCCTACGGAGTGCATGCTTTCATGCTTTCTGTGCCTTCTGGCCTGGGATGCGGCACTGGCTGGGTGCATCCCTATCCGCCTCGCAGAGTGCGTCCACCGGGACGGAGGCACCGCACAAAGGGAGCGAGTTCAGGGATGCGTAGTCCTCGGGGCACTCGTCGGCCAGGACGGGTGCCTTAAGTCACGCGCAAGAGATCGCAAGAGCTAATTATAGTGGACATGACAACTCTCTTGGGGACTGTGGGGGGAAGCCTTTCGATGTCCTTGTGAAGTCAAAATCATTGCCAGGGCACGAGAAGTGTGGAGTCGGGGCACTCCCCGGTCCAGACCAGCATCGTAGAGCGCTGGCATGCCTCCACGGCGTAGAGCATGGAAGATACCAGGTTCGTGGATTCGAGAAGCATCTTCAGCATGAGCACCTTGCTACCCCAAGCTCCCCTGACATTATAGAAAAAAGCGGAAGGTTTAGTAATTTAGGATAGCAAAACAAGTGAATCACAAAGTATGATCTGGGAAGCTGCAGCTACTGTCTTCGATCGTCTCAGCCTGGTCGGCAAGCCCCTTAGCGATTGGCTCACAAACTGCGGGTCCTGCGAGCGCGAGTCAGTGTCAATTTGCATGGCACAACACGTCGCGAACAGTATGCACAGCCAGAGAAAGTATCCAGTTCATGTGAAAGCCCCGTCTGAATTATGAACTGGCTTGTCGACATGGAGTTTTCAAGTGTGGGTTCTGCCTTCGCTCAGATCCGGCTGCCTACGCTCTACGAGGAAATTGCTGTTGAAAGCATTCGTGCCTGGTTCCTGTTGTCGTTGAGCACGACATCTTCCTGCAGAGATGAATGGCGAAACCCCGCAAGACAGCTGCCCTTCTTGGCTTCTTTCTACGCATTTTAGTGCGCCATCGCCGTTGTCACAGAGCCCACCACAGTCCTGCAGACACCTGGAACCTGCAAATATGACGAAACCCTGCAAAGCAGTGACCCTTGAAGGCACTCGCAGGCCTGCGCGGCCGTATTTGCATTGCTGAGACCGGTGACCGTGGACATGTTCCTGCCCGTGACGTGCAAAAAACATTCCCCTTTTGAAGGGTCCCACAAGGGTGGGTTGGCTTTGTTTTCGCCTTGCTGAGGTTGTTGGGCGGCTCGTGCTTGTTGGAGTCGTGCCTGGCAGGTCCAAAGACTGACGATCCCAGCTGTACGCCCTCGACGCTCGAGTCGATGGAGTAGGCAGGGGCAGGGGGCTGTGACTCTCCAATTGAAGCTACAAAGAAGGACACGCGCGCAGGCAGACAGGCAGCTGACAGCTTCAATCTAACGCTTGCATGACTGCGCGAATGCTGGCGCCTGAGTTTCCAATCACAGTGTTCCCGCTGCGGTCCTCCCACTTTAATAGCTTGCAGGTGGTGTTTGTTTGTTTGTGTGTGTGTGTGTTTGGCCAGCTTGTATGGTAAGAGATTGGGGCTCTTCTGTACGCACCATGGTCTTGCCCAGGGATGCTTCTGGCGTCTTTCGGCGTGATGTAAACACAGGAGGAACCATCGTTCAACAGCCTTCTGTCCCAAGGTCCTGCACGTCCGCACTTCGACCTCTGGACCTGACAAAGAACACTGCAGAACTCACGAATCCCGAATGGAAACATCTATGATCATCCATGTATCTATGCGCATATGAGTCTGTATGTAGATATTCATCTATATCTATATCTATATATATCTGCATCTATACATATATATATATGTATATATACTTATCTATTTTTTGTTTTTTGTTTGGGATCTATTTCCCCAAACAGTCTACTGTTGGGGTTCTAAATTCATTTAAGGATTGCCGACATTCTGAGGACTGTTGCCGGGTTCCTGGGCTCCTTGTCTCCCTTTGTCTTCCTTTATCTCCCTTCGTCGCCTTGTCTCCCTTTATCTCCCTTTGAGTCCCGTCGTCTCCACTGTTTCTTTGACGTGCCTTTGACTGTTTGAGGTCTTCGGTGCTGCAATTCGCTGCCAAGCTGCAACAGCGCGGAGCGTCGGGCAGCCCCTGGCATGCGAACCCCAGACTTCAAGAGCCAGGGCCGTGACAAAAGCTTTCTTGTGGACTACACAGGAAGTACTCCGCACGTCGCCGAGGCCTCCGACGCTCCTCCAGACCTGGCAGAGAAACAGCAGGCTCCCTAAAAAATCTTTGAAAGAGTTCGAATGACATGTTAGCACACACTCTTATATGGGGTTTACGATATTACAGGTACCTTATTTTGGGTCCTTGTTAGAAGGGAATCCCACTGGGGTCTATACACTGGGGTCCCTCCGGCAAGCCCATATCGAAACTGGCTAATCCAAGCTCCAGGGGCCGCCACGAGGCTGGCCAGCGCGATGAGAAGGCCGAGGTAGCCCCCCAGTGCCACCATGGACCATCGGCCGGCGGTGCCGAAGGTGAAGCGCCTTTTTAAGTTTGCAGGGACTTGTGGTACTTTAGGGCGCGCGGAGAGTAGGTTGCAAACAAATCACCTGCGGCACTCGCGGAGTGCACCCTCGCCCCCGCCTGCCCCCTGAAAGGTATTTGCCCTCAGTTCGCGTGGTGGTGCTCGAGGTCGAGGTCGAGGTTGTTCACGTGGTGGTGCTCGAGGTCGAGGTCGAGGTTGTTCGCGTGGTGGTGCTTGAGGTCATGCTGGAGGTCATTGTGATCGTGGCTGTGGTCTGGCAGTTTCCATGAACGCTCACAGCATAAAGCTTACTGCAGCATTTGAAGGCTGGTTCTAAGTCTTACTAAGTCAGGGCTCGGCTTGCCCTCTCTCTAGGCCTGGGTCGATGTGATCGATGTGGTGGTCGGGAAGCGGAAGATCTCCGAGGGCGCGTCCGAGTTCGCAACAGCCAGGTACACGGTGCCCGACGCCGTGAAAGAGCTCCAGTCCGTTGCGCTGAAGGCATCAACATGGAACCTTTCTTCGAATCCTGTTCCGTTCAACGCAAATATGGTGCTCTGCCTCTGTTTCCACAAGGCTGTAGCAAGATATTGGGTGCCCTCTGCCCAGAAAGCATGCAAATCATATACACCTCCTGGGGTGTTGATGGTTCCGAGCAGCTGAAACTCTGACCCGCTCCACACATAGACCGAGGAAGTACTTGAGGTCCCTCCGATGGCCAGGTAATGAAGATCGTTGCTACTAAAGGGCTCCAAAACGAGCGGAAAGTTGGCGGTGGAAATGCTTTGCTTCAATGCAAACTTGTCGGCGGCCCAGCGGTAGACTGCAACAGCCCCATTTTCGTTTAAGACCGCAAGGAAGTCGACGCTGTCGATCTGGAAGTGCCTGGCTCTTCTGCCACCGCTGGTGGGGATGCCCTGGGCATCCTCAAACCCAGAACCATTCCAGCGATAGATGACCGAGGTTTGGGCTCGATCTGAGCCATCCTGAAAGTTCATCACCGCCAAGTAAGTTGTGTTGTCGATCACAAAGTGCTCGAGGTCGGCTGCTCCAATCGTTGGCAACTTCTGGAACTCCGCAAACTCCGTGCCGTACCACGCGTAGATAGGAGAATCGGCTCTGGAAGAGCCTGATTCGTCTTTGAAGGCGGCCGCTGCGAGGAAATGAGTTCCGCTGATTACGAAGTGGCAGATGTCCATGATATAAGGGTGGTGGAGTCTCTGCACCTCCCGCAGGGTGCCATCTTCCCAGGCACTGATCACGGACTCCAATCCCGCCTGGTAGTATGCCCTGGCCCAATAGACAGTCTCGTCAATCCGGTACGGCTCCCAGTGCCTGTGCCCGGCCACAAAGTCAACTTGTGCCACCTGGGCGCTTTCCGAGATCTTGGTAGGAGGGGCATGGGTGCAAAACATCGTCGTCTCCAGCGATCTGGGGTCTCTTCAGACTGAAACCCGAAAGCCTGAAACCTGTGAAGCCCAAACGAAATCACCCCTAGACTCTCGACCCCACAAAACATCCCAGTACCCCCGAACCCCCTCAACTCCACTGTTGAGGCTCCCGCTGGCTCCAGCTCCAGGCCCCTTCCCAGGAGCCATGACGCACACAGCAACGAGGCCCAACATGCCCCCGGACGGCGGGGAGGCGCCATCTTGCACCGCTTCGGAGTGCAGAGGCTTTAAGGTTGAGAGGGGTGCTTCTTAGGGAATGTTATATTCGGCCTGGAGGAGCAAGGGAGCTGAGATAGCATTAACGCTGTTGCGATCGCACTCTGCCCCAGAGTCCCTTGGGGAGCTGGAGCCACATAAAGCCTCCCGAAGAAACAGGTCGAGATCAGCAGGAAGTAGAAGTGACAGCAACAGCAAGCGATGATTCGACAGTGCATCGACCGTGCATGCCCTGGCTTTTCCTTGGTTGCATGCACGGAATTATGCGAGGATTGCCAAAGCATCTAGTGCAGGCAAAAGAGGTTCACGAATATTCACCAGGCGTTCGAAATGGCTCTCTTTGCAGAGACCTATGTTGCGGAATACTCTATAATACTTCTTGGGCTATCGCACGATGTATGGAATGGGCCATCCAACCAGTGAAGTAAAAACTATGCCTCCGTGGACTCCCAACGCTGATCAAGGCATTCACGCCGGTTCAACTTCTGAAGCTCAGCCCGAACTGAACCCCGTCTTGCTACCAGTGCGGAACCTCTGGCCTGTCTACATGCGCAAAGCTGTGAGGTGTAACTCCAGACCCGAGATCTCTCCTCGTTTCGGGGGCCGAAGAGCCTTCGTTTCGAAGCCCGTGAGTCAAGCAGTAAGACTGTGAAACACAACTATGTCCGGGTCTCTCTCAGTGAAAAAACACATGGCAGCTTAAGACCACCCTTGACGGCTTGACGGTGGTGACCAATGTGACCAATGGGAGGCTTTCGGATACGAAAAGTATGACTGCAGAGCCGCGGCAGAGTGCTAGCTGTGATGATCAGAAGAGTCGCAGTCAAAAGAACAAACGCCCAATCATGTCCTAAACCACGAAAACGTCTGAACCCCTGCGCGAGAGTCCCAGATAATTACGTCCTAGCACGAGTACCCACCAATTGTTGGATCCTCAGGCCAGGGTCGGAGGGCAGCGAAACCCTAAAAGAAAACCCAAAACCGAGTAAAAAAGTTGAAACCCTGAACCCCACAACCCTGGAGCCCTAAAGCCCTTTCCTACTTTATGTCGCCATTTATCACCAGGGTCTCGCTGAAGCCCTCAAGTGCTTCTTCGGTGTTTGACTGAACCGAAGTTTGGGGCGATCTGCAAGAAACCTGTTGCATGCTACGCTCGGCGCCTGTCTCTGTAATTCCAATGTGTATTCTTCTGCCCTAGCTAAACAAAGCCTTAAACCAACTCTATGTCAAACCGCGAAAGCCTAGAGCCTTGAAACTCCAAACCCCAAAATCCTACAACCTTAAGGCCCTGAACCCCACACCCAAGATCCTAAATTCCTAAATTCCTAAATCCAGGCGCTGGCGGCGTCAAGCCTCTTGCAGGGTTTCTGGTGCTAGGTTCCTGGGGGTGGCGCTCCGCAGCCCCGTACAACCTTCACACTCCTTCCCTTATACTTAAGGGTTTCGGGATGTAACCCTAAACCCTAAACCCTAAACCCTAAACCCTAAACCCTAAACCCTAAACCCTAAACCCTAAACCCTAAACCCAAACCCCAAACCCTAAAGGCATCCATGAGTTTACGTTTTTACTTTGAAAGGACCAAGGGATTTGGGTTTTTAACGTAAAGGATCTGGGCTTCAGCAGGACGTAAGTCACTTTAAAGCCAACGTCAGTCTGTAGCGCCTGAATCCAAGATAAGGAGCTAGAAGATGTGAGTTACCACAGTAAGAAAGCAATACTAGCTACTTGACACATACGGTCCTTACTGAGGTAACTTCATCGGCAAGTTCTCTAACTTATGGTCCCGCTTTGGGTACCGGTGATAACGTGGAGGCTTCTGTTTGAGGGTATCGCAGAGGTGCGCCAGACTTTCGGGAACTGCCAAATTTTGTAGCTTGCTCTGGAGGTTGTTGGGATGCGGACTGCTGCGGATGCGTATATAGGTACTGATCAACGACTGGCAGGCAGGGTTCTTCAGCCCCCGAAACGCTAAGCCCTAACTATGAATTATTAAACCCCGAACCCCACTATGAAGCCCTTATAAACCTCTTTAAACGCCCCCCTATTAACCCCCTGTAAACCCCTATAAAACCCTTAAAGAGGGCCCCCCAAGTCAGACCATTGCCTGCCAGCTCAAGCAGTGCTTGATTCCGGCACTTGGAATCCTACTTGAAAAATCTCTGGGGGCAAGCTGTGTGCCGACGAGCAAAAAACCAGGGCGGGAAGCTGAAGCTCATCTAATATTCCAACAGAGATTCTCGAGATGGCAGAGCCTAAATGGGGCCACCTAGGCCCCCCTTTTGCCAATCCCAGCTTTCTAGGTTTAGAAGCGAAGTCGCTGGGCCGGAGAAGCTTCTGATCCAGGACATCCATGTTTGTAAATTTGCGACCGCTGCTGCTAGGTTCGCGTGCTTGCTATTGCTGCTGCTGAACTCAACATGCTTGCTCATCGCAGCTGCCGGCAGACAAATGACGATGACATCTGCGGCGAATTCCAAGGCTCAAGGAGCGTCTCCCCCAACATGCTGGCTCTACTGACTAACACTGCTGCCGCTCGGGTATACCCCTATAGGACCATCGAACGCAATGGAGCCGAGTAGTTGTCATCGTCCGGCACTTGCCCATCAGGAGGCAAAAAGGCTGAGGAAGTCCACGTCTAACGAGGTCGAAAACCTTGGGCCACAGAGGTGTCAGCAACTTGACGCCTCGAAGCGTTGGGTCTGAAGTCTGCGTGGCTTATAAGTGGCTTCGCACGCGCGCTTAGAGTTGTAGAAACGCGGGTTGGAGCCCAACTGCATGCAAAGAGGTCCACCAAAATGCCAGGGACATGTTCTTGAGCTGTCGGCCTCTCCGATGAATACGCCCTGTTCGACTCGGGCCCCGAAGCCCTAAACATCCCTAAACCCTAAACCCTAAACATGCCTAAACCCTAAACCCTAAACCCTAAACCCTAAACCCTAAACCCTAAACCAGAAACCCGAAACCCTAAACCCTAAACCCTAAACCCTAATCCCTGTTCGATTGACTCTTGGGTCCCCGGGCGGCATACTTCGGTCCCGCTCGCGCAGTGCTCGTTGGTCCACAGAGCGGCGGAGGTGGACACGGCTTTGGGCAGCTTGGTTCGATCTCGTGACAATAACCTGCAGCGGGGGATTTAGGGTTTAGGGTTTAGGGTGCAGGGTTCTGGCTCTCTCGGCATAAGGAAGTCGTTGTAAGCCGCGACTGGATGCTTCAGAACTGTGAAGAGGCACGTCCGAGACGTCTACACCCCGCAGTTGCAAGATAGCTGGTATCTCAGATCTGACAGGGACCCGCTGTGCAAGTCACTTCACCGGCCACCTTCTGAGAGCCCTAAATGCCCGAAGTCTTGGGACTTGAAGCACAACTCTTCACTCTTTTTGGAATAACCTCGACAAACCTTCTCCAAACTCCTGGCGCCTGAGGTGGCGCAGCGTCGGTACGGCGAAAGTTCGGGTGGAGGACATGATCCTCTACCTCCCAGGGGCGCTTTGCAGAGCCCCCAGAACCGAAGGTGTTCTATAAGTGTAGATCGAAAGACTACTCAGGAGCCTTCCGCAGTACGCCATGCAAACTGCAGCTGAGCGGTATCGGTCGAAGACGATCTTATAAGCTTGTCGCGGATGAACTATCCAACTCGAATTCGTGCAGGGCGCACTGCAACAAGCACAGCACACTCTGCAGGCCCAAGATCCAGACGTCTGGACAAAGTGAAACTGCTGCAAGCTCAAAGAGAGGAGCACGCAGTTCACAGCTGGCACAGCCAACTCACTTCCAAAAGCAACGTCGCTGTACAAGGTCGCAGAAAACAAAATCCAGGGCTCGACTCTGGGCGAACTAAACTCGCAAGCAAGAAGGCTTACTCCCGGCCAAACCCAGGTCTTAAACTTGTCACTTCCTACTCGCCGTCCAGGAGACCCTACTTGCAGTATTGTACTGTACTTACGATCTCTACCAACTCCCTTCAAAGCTAGAGAACCTCCACGGAAAGCCTAGTGAACATCCTTGCTGTATATCCCACGCCCGACCACGGCTCGATCATGCACAGCCGACATCTAACCACCCGTAACAATTTCGCATGGGGGATCCAAGGCATTGGCCCATTTTTGTACACCATAGTCTAGAGAGCACGCACTACTAGAGACCCAAAAGGGCCAACATTTGAGATCGACCACTACATCTTTCTACTTTCTACAGCTGTGCATTCCACTGCAAGCCTCAAGCCTGATCCCAAACCCCAAACCCCCCCAACCCCGACATACGAGTCTTGCTCTTGCATAGGTTAAGACTGTTCTGAATATTGTTAGTCTTGTCATCCCTATCGTAATTGCTACGGTGCCAGCCCTAAACCCTAAACCCTAAACCTTGTATCCTAAACCTGATCAACGCCTCCACATCTTCCATCTGCATCGGCTCTGTCGACTGATGGCGCCCACGACGGGTGGGTGGGGTTCCGCCGCACCTTGCTCTGCAACCTAAACCCTAAACCCTAAACATTAACCATCATTAAACATTAATTAAACATTAAACATTAAACCCTAAACATTAAACCCTAAACCCTAAACCCGAAGCCAGCCAGATTCCAAGGGCGGGTTGGCATTCAGGGCCTGATTCGGCTGCTTGGGAAGTTGTAGGAGAAGATGCTGTCAAGAAATCGTCAACTGCTTGCAACTGGTGACTGATCTTTTCTGCATGCAAGTGCAGCCAAGCCAGGTGAGGGCGGCGCACTGATCCTTTACAACAAGAGCTGCCAAGGAACAGCTACCAGAGTTAAAGTCAATTCTGCTAAAGTCGCTAGTCCGCAATAGTGCATCAATGGTGCGTCAGGACAAGCTACTCTAAACCTCCTCACGTCTGTAATGGGGCTTTGGAACCAGTAAAACGCCCTCAAAAAAGCCCAAACTCCAAGCGACCGACGATTGAGGGCTGGCGGGCCATGCTGCGGCATCGCCCAGCCCACAACCGCTGACCTGGGAGTGTATGCAGTCTGGGTAAGGGAATGAACTCATTAGGACTGTTGCTGCTATTCTGACTACTCTTTGTAGTGACCAACGGTAGAGGTCTTGGTAGAGGTCTTCTGCAGGAAATTAGGGATGTAGAGTTGGGGGGTCAAGGCTTAGCAAGGCTTTCGGGGAGCAACGCCCGGATTCTGACTCACACAGGGCTCAGGAACTGCTGCTCAACGTCATGGGCCCTGAAACCCTTCAGGGACGTAGTTGGAGCCATGGCAATTTCACACACATCAGCGAGCCGATGCCTAAGCAAACAGTATCTGCACCGGCAGGAACCTTAAGCAAGCCCCTTTTTCCCCACAATTCCAAGCCCTATGAACTCCTAAACCTCGGACCGGAAGTCAGACCTGTAAACCCGGAACCATGAATTGCGAACCCTATCGGCCCTTGAACCCCCAAAACCCGAAAACGCCAATTCTCTACACCTCACCTCACTCTCCAAGGCTGGTGCACCAAGCGCTAGCGGGTCGGCAAGGGCCTTGCAAGCCAGTCTTTTTCTTTTGCATGTCTCGGATTTTGAAGGATTTTTTTGGGGGGTCTTTCGGTGAAGGCCTCAAATGGAGATGTTCTACCCTAGATTCTACCCCCTCGGCTCCCTTGGCTGAGCTCCAAAACCACCAACACGAAATCCTAAATCCCGTCTTGGCCCAGCTGTGTGCCTCAGGACGGCTGGCCGCACGCGAGCTGGGTGTGGAGGCTCCGCGAAACCTGGCCGGGATCTGCCGCAATCCAAGCCTTCAGCTAGGATACAAGCCCGAACCATCCCGAAGAATTAAAAGGGTTTGGATGGACTTGAACCTTCAGAGTCTGGGTGCCGTGGCTCGGGTCTTTGATATCATTCCGGCTTGTTGTTGGAGTTTAGTCTGAGTTTCTGTCCCTTGAAGTTTAGGGCGCTTCAGATGTCGAGACGCATTGTGGAGAAGTCTGGAATGGGGTCAGGAGCTGCCTGCGCGACGCCTTACAGAGAGCCAGCCACCCCCTATTTTGCAGCGGGTTACTTGGATTTTACGGCCGTCTAACCATTGGCATGTAGGCCCATGTAGGCTGGTGCTTGCATGATTCGGGATGAATGATTGAACATTCGCCATTTGGCTATTGGGTCTTATTGAGGTCCCCAGCTACACGCACACAAACACAGAGACTGCGAGGGGCGGCCGATTTTTCTGTTAGGTGTGAAACATCCATGGTCCAAAGAGCTATAGAAGGCATTGGCTGAGCGCGATATTGGGCCGTTCTGATGCGGCCTGACTACTTCTACTTCCCATTCTAGACCTTTAAGCAATGAAGCGAAGGCTTCCTGCGATTCTTGCGTTACAAACCCCTAAGCGCCCTAAGCATCCCTTAGCCTTGTAAAGCATCCCTGAGCCTTACAAGGATCCCTGAGCCTTAGAGAAACCCTAAACCCGAAACCCTAAACCCTCATACTCTCATCCGCTCCTAGAAAGCGCGCGCTCAGTGGTGGATCCTCTTTGGGGCGACTTTGAGCACGACCCCAGCTCGGCTTCACCGCTTTTTGTGGACGGGCACGTGCAGGCAACTCAGCACGTTTTTTTTGCTAAAAGGTTTTTTTTAAGGGCTTGAGGGTTCTCAGGGTTTAGGACCACTACAGGGTTGTAGGGTTTAGGGGTTTTGTAGGGTCGACTGAGTTTACTGGAAGGCCAGCCTGCAACTCTGCGCCCTCAACCCGAAACCCTATATGGCTCAGCTTAGATCAACACCAAATGAAGATAGTAAAGCCTCTTCGAGCCTGCACATGCCTTGGGACATCATGCATCGATCATTGCCGATCTAGAACAACCCAAAGACAGCCTCAGAAAGTCTTGCGGGTCTTGGGCTATGTGAACATCCGCTGTCTTGGGGTACACGTGGCTGGGTGAGACATCTCGGGAAAAGCAGTCAGCTCTGGCTGTGAGCAACGCAAAGAGCCCGGGCATCGCATCAGAAGCCCAAAATCCGACAAAGACTCCCGAAATCATCCCTAAAAACCCTGAGCTAAAGGGACATGCCATCGATCCTTCGTTGCTCCTAGCCAGGGCCGCCTTAAAATTGCACCGGCCCTCACTGTCACAGGCAGAACGACCGCAGAGCTTCCCGATCCACGGTCAGCTCTTCGAAGCCAGGCTGCTGGTCGAGCTGCTGAAGGCGCTCCAGGAGTGGGAGGTTCCTGGGCTTTTGATAGGGAGCGTATATATACAGATAGATACATACTACTCTTATATGTATGTATACATATATATATATATATACATAGAGAGAGAGAGAGAGAGAGAGATGGGGTTCCGGAACAGGGCTTCTGTTTGTGTGGAAGGCGTTTAGCGGCTTTCGGGCTCGCTTTTTGGACCTGCGCCGCTTCCGGCTTCACGTGGGCACCTGCCGCAACGAGGTCCCAAAACAAAGGAATTCTCAGGATCGTCCAAAGTGCAGGATGCCCTCATCTCCCAGGAGGTCCAGCAACTCCACCTGAGATCTTCTGCTCTCTAGAAGGCTTCGGGTTGCAGCTGTGGGAATTGAGGGAAAACTCGGTTAAAAAAACGATTTGAAGAACACGTCGACTTGCGACTACTTAGCTCGCTGATGCCCCTACGATTTGAAGATATATCGTGCACTAGAGGCCCGTGACGCTTTAGGGTTTAGGATGTAAGGTTTACTGCTTGGGGTTGGGTGATGAACTTAGATTGCAGCGAGCAGTCGCTGTCTTGTAAACCCTTGTTCCCAGACCTGTACGAAGGTGTTGCCCCAATTTTCTGGGAACTCCCAATGGCTCAAAACAAAGCTACCAACAGGCACCTCGAATCTTGAATGAATAGCTTCGAAATCCCCCAGAAGGGGTTTGGGGCTTATGGATTAGGGATCATGAAGAAACCCAAAGGAAGGCCCAAGCCCTAAACCCTAACCCTAAAGCCCTAAACCCCTAAAACCCTAAACCCTAAAGCCCTAAACCCCGAAAACCCTGAACCCCCAAACCCCCTAAACCCCTAAATACTCCTAAGCCCCTAAGCACAGGCCTGGAGAAGCAGCTCGTCTGCCTCCACGGTGTCGCCCAGAGGCCGCCGGTCCCGAAGGAAGTTTAGGGCTTGGTCCACCTGAATGGCTTTGAGGGCTTAGGGTTTTTGGATAGGGTTTAGGGTTTAGGGTCCAGGGTTTAGGGTTTCGGCTTTAGCGTTGCGGGTTTAGGGATATTAGTGAAGGTTTTTAGACCTTAGTTAGGGTTCTAGGTCCCAGTGGTCCGAAAGCCCAACCCTAAGCCCGTAAGCCCTAAGCCCTAAGCCCTAAACCCTAAACCCCAAACCCTAAACCCCAAACATCATCACTGGCCTTGCCTTGTCCTCCCCGCCAAGGGATGAAGCAAGCCTCAGAGCGATCACACCTTCACTTCCCTGCTTGCCTGGTAAATCCTTCTAAGCGCCCCCCCCTGCAATGGGGTTTAGGGTTTAGGGTTTAGAATTTGGCCTCATTGTGGTACATTGGGGCTCATTTTGGGGGGTTCGATGGTCATTTCATAGCCCCTGGAGAGAAGAGCTTGATTTGCAGAAACATCTTGGAAATGGCGACGGTTTCGATTCTGACTCTCGCGACTATGGTTCTGAACAAGAGGCTAATTCAAAGGCACATTGTTCAAGCCGAAGCTTGAGATGGCTCGCTGCCACAAGCTTGCGGGTACAGGAGCGGAAAGGACAAGATCCCACCCTTCCTCCCTTCAGATGACAGCTGTGATTTGCGGCCCCGGAAACTCAGGGCATGAAGGCATCAACAGTTGTTGGAGCTAGCGACTTTCGACGTGGCACAAGTCCGACGTTTTTTGAAGTTCAATTCTCGTAGCTGTTCCAACGAGCATGGCTCTTGTGGAACATGTGACGCAGATTCGCACCATGGATCTTGATGGATCGCGACTATAAGAGGCCTGTAAGAGATCAGAACCTACGGTTCGAGGATACTTCGAAAAGGGCAAAATGCTTTCCTGCAGCCAGGCGTCGCCGTTCGGAGCTTGTGCGCCTCCTCCGTGGCGTGGACCTCTGGTAATGGCACCAGGAGGGCCTCGGCCTCGGCAATCAGCTGGCGCCACTCTGCAGTGCTGGCGAAACCGTGCTCGCTGTGTGAAACGTCGGCCCCACTGTCCCCAGGCTCTTGAAAGTCTTCGAGGAGATCGAGGTCACGCTCTCCAGAAGAGTTGCTGTCCGCACCCACCTGGCCAGAGTCGCTCTCAAAGTCTGAAGCGTAGGAGCAACCTTCCGTCTGGTTGGAGGTTGCTCTGTACGGAACAGATGGCGCAGACACAGATGGGCTTCTGGAGATGCAGAAGTCGTCCTCCACGAGGCCTGGGAGGCCCGGGGTGCGTGCGCTCGCGCTGCCAACCTGCATCGAGCTCCCCGTGGCGCTGAGCTCCTGGCTCTTGGCCAAGCCAGAGAGGCTCGGAAGGCTCGGAGAGCCCAAGTCGCTGTCTGACGGCGAAGCTCCCTCGAGATCCATGGAGAAGGGCTCTGTGACGGCGTGGCCTGGAGGGCCTGGAGGGCCTGGGCCATGGCTGGAGGAAGCGGCCTCGGTCTCTGGTGCGAAGTGCAATTGGCGAAGGACCGGAATCGCCCGCCGCGCCAGACCGACTGCGGTGGCTGCAGCCACATTCGTCCCACCCGTGGAGTTCCGGGGCTCCGAGGTGGACGTCCGTGGCTTCGCCCACTTCCGCTCTCCCACAAGGCTGTCCAAACTCTGGAGGAAGTCATGGAAGGGATCTCGCAACAAATCAGACCGTAGCAGCTCGCGGTTAGAAGGCCTGTTGTGTGGCTTCCGTGCTAACAACCCCTCGAGAGTTGCCGACAGCGATGTGCTATATCCACTGGGGGCCTGCACCGGGGCGGCATGCAGCACCGCGCTGACGACCGCTGCATAGGAGTCACAGCGCCCTGCGAATGGCGGCTCTAGAGCCATCATCTCAAAGAGCACACACCCAAGCGCCCACTGGTCTGTCTTGCTGTTGTATGGCCGACCTTCCAACATCTCCGGGCTCATGAATGCAGGCGTGCCGACAATGGACCGGCGCAGATCCTCAGTGTGTTCCACCTGTCCCGCAACACCGAAGTCTGCCAGCATCACCCGCTTGCCGTGTTGCGCCAGTAAAACGTTTTGCGGCTTAAGGTCTCGGTGAAGAAACTTCCGTGAGTGAAGGTGCTGGAGACCCCAGGTGAGCTGTGCAAGCCAGGACAGGATTTGCACTTCTGCAATGTGTGCACGGCCGAAAGCGTCTCTGCAACCATTCAGCTCCCACTCCAGTCGAACCCTTAGGCATTCCTGGCGCAGGTCTCGGTCACATCGGCTCATGACCAGGCATAAGATGTCTTCGGAGGGCAGTGAAGGAGTAGACCGAACCAAGAAGCTTTCGAGGTAGGGGACGATGCAGGGATGACGCATAGAAGAGAGGAGCCGAACTTCGCGCAGAGCGTTCTCTCTGTCGCTGTCTGCCACCCAAGGCAGCTGCTTCACAACTCGCAGCTGCCCGTCCCGGTCCTTGACTTCGTAAACCCGGCTGTTGCATCCGCCACCTTGCCCCAGGACGCGCATGACCGAGTAGCCATGCTCCTCCATGGCTGGCTGCTCCGGTCGCCCATGAGGGCAAAGGCACAAGGGCCGGCTCTACCGCCCAAAGCATCCCTCAGCCATCTTCTCAGCTCTATGGAGCCCAAAGATGCCCAAAAGCATAGGCGCACACGCCTGTGAATCACGCCCATTTCGTATCAAAACACTCAAGACCAACTCTTAGCCCCCCCCCCCCCTGCCAGTCAGCTCAACGCCCTCCCCGGTCCTGGCCCCTCCATGATCCGTAAAACCCTGAAACTCCCACAAGCCCAATATATCTCAAAAAGCCCTACAACTTACAACTCCAACTCCCCAGACACGGCAGAGGCACTGTCCGGAGTCCAGGACACCACTAAGACTCTTCGTCATCGGCTGACCCCGGCCAAAGACGCCCAAGTCGGCCGCCTGACAAGCAGGGGTCGCAGTGCGTAGCATCAATAGCATTATTGCTTGAGGCGTTCGGTGAAGCTCCGAAACGAGGGTAGGTTGTAACCACGTGAAGGGGGTGTACTTTCTAACCACGCCACGTTTTCTGTTACCACGACGTGGAACTTTAATTCGCCTCGGCTTCCTGCCGAGAAGCGTCCCCCCCACCCCCCCCCACCCCCCCCGACCCCCACCCCCCCCCCCCCCCCCCACCCCCCCCACCCCCCCCCACCCCCCCCCCCACCCCCCCCCCCCACCCCCCCCCCCACCCCCCCCCCCCCACCCCCCCCCCCACCCCCCCCTCCTTTCCTGTCCTGGAAACAGGCCCCGGTGCGCGCAAGCGTTTACAATTACTATTGACATGACAAGCAGTATATGCTCGCTTGTTATGGCTGCTGTCTTTCTTATTGGCCAGGCTAAGATCTTTCTCTGTTGAGGAAATTGCAAAGCCTGTCGAAAAACAGACTGCCCAAAAAGGTGCTGGGTCCTGCGTATGCCCCCTCAACCGGAAGCGTGACACCCAAGACTCCCAGAATCGACATGCTTCGAACCACAACTCTAATCACAACAGTACTCAGCTTCTGAAGATCGGATGGCTGAGCACAAGCGGCTCATTTAGGAATCCGCTTCGCTTCTGGTATGGTATGCGACAGCTGGCCCGGAAGAGCTTGGCCGCACAGGTGCTTCAGAGAACCCCAAACTCAAACCCAAAGCCCTATAGCTTCCTAAACCCCAAACCCAAACCCTAAACATCCTAAACCCTAAACCCTAGCTTGCTCTCCTTCAACCTTCTCCTGCCTCGGGCGTACCCCGCGTCTGCGTCGTCGCCCGTCGCTCGCGGCCTCGACTGCGCGCCGCATCCGTGGCCGCCTCGGGGTAGACTTTGGGTTTGGGTTTTGGGGTTTAGGGTTTGGGGTTTGGGGTTTGGGGTTTAGGGTTAAGGGGTATTTCATCCTAATGGCTATTTAGACTGTTTAAGGTATAGGTTATATTGTAACATTATAACTATAGGGGTATTTATCAGGTAGAGGTTAACTTCTAACCATATAGACATGTGAGGGGAATATAGCATTGAACCGTTTAGGTTCCGGTCGGGAGTTCTGTTGGAGCACCCCAACATGGACATCATCTTTGAGAATCATTACCTCGGCCCTGAAGTAGATGCTGACTGTTTTGGGGGTTATACAGTTAGACTGTATGTTATGCTTTTCTAGGGGTTGGGGTTGGGGATGTTGGGTTTGCAGGTCGGGACCTTGGGCCCGAAAAGGCCCAGCCACTTCTCGAGACGTCGACACGCACTTAAGGAACGTGGCACGAGCATGTAGTCGTCTTGCAGTATGAAGACGTGTAAGTGCCATGAGGCGTCTTGAGGCTGGGGCCAACGAGGGACGCTGCACCTTGGGAGCCGGAAAGCAGATTCAAGATCCATACGGCCCCCTCTTTGCGCATGGCATGATCGGATGGGATCGCATGTACGTTCAGTCTTCAGCCGAGTTCATGTTCTTTTGTTTTTATCCTCACTGCAATTGCTTCCGCAGGATGGGGTAAGACTTGTTGCAGACCTGAAATATGACATGTACACCGAACGAAGGTGGTCATCGGACCGAAGGATACCGAAGCCGTCAAGACTGGACGTTCGGATACGCTGGGCAACGGGCGCGCGGCTCTACGCGGGCAGATGCCCAGGTGCCTGCAAGAACCGTGCGGATCTAGGCTTAAGAGCCCCCAAACCTCCCTGATTCTGCCTAGTTATTGTTCTGAACAGCGAAGCCAACTGTAGAAAGACTCTTAGGTAACTACACAGATGTAGGGTTTCAGGATGTTTCAGGTATAGTTTAGGTCTTTAGGTTAAGGGTTCTGTTTGGGGTCTGTTCAGCTTGAGGATCTATTGGGATCCGGGCTTGCGTTTGAGAGTCGACGGTTTGAGGGTGGGTATCTGGGTGTACCAAGAAGATAAATGCTTCCGCAGTTTATTCATGCGCATTACCTTAGTTGTACTTTACAAGGGACCCTAATATCGACAAATCCGCACTGCCAGAAGACGAAGAGGACTGAGCCCTGAAGACTTCTTCACACGCTGCAGCTGGGTGCCTCCAACGACTTTTGCGCCTAGAGCCTGGCGGGGGGACGAGCAGCTCTGAGGGTTTAACTTACCTTTTTTGTAGGGGTTGGATTTTAGGGTTAAGATTTCGGGGTTTAAAGGTTCTGAACTTGCTGACCCTGCTGGCAAGGATCAAGAGACTTGCTAAGCGAATACATCTCAGTGAAAGGGCTTCAGGCCTGGTCGTTGCTGGTCTTGCTGCCGCTGCGTGCTTGGTCACCAGCCATCTTGCTCGCAGGCCGGCTACCTTATTGGGCGACAAGGCAGGGCGCCACGAGTTTGAGCGTTTCTTGTACAAGCGACGATCGCCTCTTCCCCATCTAGCAACAACTGTCCATAGGCGTGGGAGAGGGATGACTTCATCTCTAGCTACCAGCTAGTAAGCGTCTGGAAGTGCCAAGTCACAAAAGCCTCAAGGTAAATCTCCAAGCAACTTATGGACAAGATCATCTCAAACAGGCAGTTCTTGCCATCCGCTTTAGAAAGGGCAAGGGTTCTTTCAGTGGCCTTCCATCGACTTACAGTCTTGAGAGCTGCTACTGGTACAGAACCCAGGGTAACTCCCTACGTGCCACAAGATCTGAAGATGCTGACCTTTAAGGGTTTAGGGTTTGGGGTTTAGGGAGGCATAGGGTTTCGGAAGATTTGGCACTTCTGAGGTCGTTGCCACCTTGACTTGGCTCCCGCTCTTTGCTCGCGCGGCCTACCTGAAAGAAGACAAGGGCATGCCACAATCCGACTTGCAAGCAGCCGGCGGTGGGCGGTGCTGTCCGATTTCAGCTTGATAACCCTGAGCGCTGAGCTCTGAGCCCTTTCAGCCCTAAGCCTTATCAGAACCTCAAACCGTACAACCCCTATCAGCTCGAAAAGCTCCCTCGAGAACCATCAAAATCCCCGCATCACCCTCAGAACATGCCGGGCGAGCGCTCGAGCTAGCGCCGCCACCTCCGCACATGGTCGGACTTAGGGGATTGGGGACTTGAGGGCCTTTAGAGCTTCCGCGCTTCGGGTTGAGGGAAAATTCACAGGCTTGCGGGCTTGGAGGGCGAGGAGTCTAGACGCAAGCAAGGTGTCTGCATGAATTGAACCCTGAGCCACGCTGGGCCGCGTCTTCCGGCTAGCATGACGCCATGCCAAGCTACAAGTACCACGGAACTTCCTTCCTTCCCCCAAGATAAAACCCGAGGCCCCGCAATCCTGACCCCACCCGGCGACGAGGGTCGGTTTAGGGTTTAGGGTTCAGGAGGGTCCTGTCAAGCCCCCGCAAACCCCCAAAGTGGCCTCTGCAAGGTGTGCTGACAAAGCCGTCGGCAAGGCTACCCTCTAGAGGGGTGGAGGCCTGGCGTCGGCAAGAGTCAGGGCATGGGTATGTCTTGATTGGTGACAGTTCGTGAAGTTTAGTGACTGTTCAGCAAGTCGAACAGCGGAAGGCACATGGAGGCTTAGGGCTCATCGGGCTTCGATCAAAAGCGTGCGAAGCATCTTGGCACGTGGCATTCTAAATGAGTCCAGGCGTGTGCCATGCTCTTCCAGATGGAAGAGTGCAGTTTCAGTCTTCATGCCAGAAAGCTTGCTGAGGCCGAGCGAGCCAAGATCATCCCAACTCCTCTAGGTGGTAGGCGCACCAGGAAACACTGGAATCTTATATACACGTACGAGTAGCAACGACAGCAATACAAACCCTACCTGATATATGATGACTCCTGCAAGTGAAGACTTGGCCTGGCAGCAAACGGCCCTGAGATGTGGCGAGAGGTTGACGGTGCGAAGCGACAGACTATGCAACATGCCACCAAAAGTCCGATAAACGCATAAGCGTTTTGAAAGCATTTCGACCCCCCTGCCCACCCCTACCCTCCCGCTATCCAACCCCCCCCCAACCCTTCCTCTACCCCCCCCCCCTCCCTCTACCCCCCTCTCACACGCCTTCTGTGGCAGTCCCGCACGGGAAGGCGGGCGTGGTCCCCAGCTCTCGACCGGAATGGGCTGCCTTGGCAGATGACACGAGGGCCCGAGAGAGTGTGGCCCGTGTGCAACTGCACAAACGAAAGCCTGGCTTGAGTAAGTCGGTTTCGCAACTAGACGAGAACTGGGTGCGTCTAAGCCTCTAGTTCATGGACGATCCACTGCTGAAGCGACTCCGTGCAGCGCGCAATATGTCTCGTCTCATCATATATCACAAGGCATCATATACCATCTGTATCGAACTTTGGGCCCACTGCCGCGTCTTGCGCTGCTCGAAGGCATCGGTCATCCTGATAGGAGCTTGCGTTGGCTGCACGATCCAGGAACCAAGGCTTGTAATCATGTGGGGCATAGCACTCGCCATATCAACAGTGGCTCGTGAAGGCTTGGCTTTTTTTCTCATCCTGAAAACCCTGAACTCCCGACGCTGGAAGACCACACCACATAGCAGAGGAGCCCAAACAATAACGAATACCGTCGCCTTGCAGTCCCCCTATGACATTCCACAATATTCTAGTTACATCATCAGCATCCCTACGAATCGCAGACTTCGCCTGGAGGGTCCCGCGAAAGCGCCGAGTCCCGCCGCGGCTGAGGCAGACGGGTCCTCGTAGGCGCTTGGGATTTTCTTTGGTGGTTGTTCGTGGCGTTATCTCGAAGCCAGAGCCCTCTATACCAGATGTGAATGCCCGCTGCGACCGGCTCGTCGAGTCTGAGGAGGCTATGATGGCATGATAGCATGCCACACGTCTTATTAATTCAGCCTTTGGAACTGGGCGCCCCCGCCTTCTTTCTGCTGGCCGGCCGCTTGAGCTCTTGTGGAAAATCGTGCGGGACCCTCGGCACCTGGCATTTTGAGCAGTATTTGTGACACTCGGGCTTGTTGCCGCAGAGCAAGTCTGCAAGGCAAGGTATGCCCACCAGCAATGACCGATGCGACTGCACATGGGCATGTGTGTAGCACAAAGCGTGGGAGGCAGTGCATCGTCCAGATTCGAACTGCCGGTGGCATCCTGTCGGCCCAGGCAAAATAGAGGTGGCAGGCCATGTTATGCGCTCCATTCAGTGTTGGCATTTCGGAGCTGAGTTTTTGGAATTGAGCAGATGCCATTGGTAGCAGACACCAAGGGCATGCTCCAACTTTGCGGACTTTATCACCACTTGTGGGACTTGTGTCGAATGAGCGCTGCCAAGTCCACACAATGTGGGAAGCATTGCCTCCTCCACGTCATCCTGGCAGAAGCAAGCAGTTGAGGCAGAAGGACTGGGAAGGACTAGCCCCTGCTAACCGACAGTTCCTTCGACTTGCAGGGCACTCTCCTTCCCACAGAGGTAAGCATCTGAAACTCCCTGGCATATCATCATGCAATTGTTGAAACTGTTCACCATCGAGATATGAAAGTCTATTTGGAGTAAAAGAGTGGACTGTCGGGAGACTTTACGACTGTCGGCCGCCCGTACTGTGGCCATCTCATGCATCATCCCATCTGTCGTGGAACTTTCCTCAACTCCGAAAAAAACCAACTGCCCTACGATGCCCTTACTGGAATTTGAGATCCTGATCTCTGATCTCCAAGCATGCCAACAAATGCAGCCTCAAGGGTATAGTTGTCCAACGCAGAGGCCGATGGGGTGGGAGCCACGGTGCCAATGCTACCTCGACTTTATGGCAGTTATGGGGGCGCGTCTCATGGTTTTGGTTCGGTTTCGTTCCTGCTTCTGCATGCTTTCAGGTGCCTGACAGGCAGCAGGGTTCGGGCATGTCCGCCCATCTCAAGGGGTGTTTGGGCGAGAAGCCCGAGCGCAGACCTCTTCAGCCAAGTTGCTTTGGGGAGCTTCCTGCGATGCAGAAGAGATGGACCTGGTGCAGTGTGTGAGTACGCTGTAGCTTCTCAACATGATACTGCTTGATACACACCCGACGACCCTGTCACTAGCCTGTCACCCCAAAAGCCCGAAGCAGCAGCCTAAACCTGCTGTTCTCTGCGGGCCTATGCTGGTTCTCGGCACTTCGGATTCTGCGCTGGGCATTCTCCGCCTCGGCGATCAAGCTCCAGGAGGCTTATGGATTTGTGGGGGAATTTGTGGGAAGCTGAGCAGCTGGATTCGGGCTTGTGCCCTGCAACTGGATCCTACCATTCAGCACTTCAGGCTTATGGACACCATCTGCAGTGGCATGGTCAGATACTCGCGGTTTAGAAATCTGCAGTCTTGAGCAAAGCCCAATTCAAATTCAATCTTGGCTGGTCACGCTCCGGGGCTCGTCCAACGCAGCACCTGAGGGCTTACTCCGATGCTGGGAGAACGTCGCGTGAAGTTCTTGAGACAGTGGACCCTGGATACTTCACTCATGAGGACAGCATAACCCGACCCCCTCCGCTCTGAGTGGATTTCTGTGTCAACACGCTTCCATGATTCCGTCCAGTTGGTCTTCTTAAAGGGCCCTGCCTCCTGTACACCTGAAGGCCCTGCTTGCTGTTACATACAAACCTTGCAATGCTTCTTCGAAGTGCCGGAAGGTTTCATTGAGAACATCTAGCACTTGCCTTTCTTTCGTTGATCTGTGCTTGCCTGCATCTCTATTCAGCTCCATCGTGCTCACATCCTCCCAAGGGTAAGCGCCAGTCTCAGCCAACTTCTGCTTAGACATTCTCAGGCGGGGGCCGTCGTGAAGATTGCCTTTCGCGTAGGGCCTGGTAAGGTCACATGGCCGGCGGCCGCTACCAACAAGTTAGGGCCTGGCCGCTACTGACAAAGTAGGACTACAGTAGGACTGAGTAGTTGGAAAGCTCCCCATATACTAACAGTCCTTAATGGGGATTATACTCGGGGTATGAAAATCCCTATTACTGTTAGAAAAAGGGGAACATCTCAACTGAGTAGGGCTGAGGCACTCTGAACCCTGACACCACAAGTGCTGCCACAGCAGGGGGCAGGGGAGAAGTCTCGGAAACCGCCTAAATCCACCCACAAGGGATCAACAGCCACAAAGCCACTACTAGTAACACGTCTATACCACTTACCAAAACATATGATAATGATACTGAAAATGCTTGATGAGGACGATGGGGGGCAGGCAGCTGGACATGGGGTTTCCCAAAACAGGGGAGCATCCTTTTGGGGTTTCCTCCATTAGGGCTAAACGAAGTTGGGTGTAGAGGAGGGGCACCCCTATTTGGGAACTGCCCATCATGTTTTAGGCGGTTTATGGACTGAGGACATTGGCCGAAGCCTGCACTCTCAATAAAGGGAGCATATCTTGAAGCTTGAAAATATGGCGGGGGGGGGGTGCGGAAAACATGCTTCTCAATGTTTAGAAGTAAAACATGCTTCTCAATGTTCAGAAGTAAAAAGTTACGGTGCCATGCTGCGGCTGAGTGTGCCACTTACCAGCACTTCTTAGAAGGATGTGCAACTCAAGGGGTCGAGTCCAGGCTTCCAAGGAATCGTCCAGCTTCCTTCGAAAGGCCGTAGGAGGGCATCTGAGAACCTCCAGGAACAAAAAACCCTCATGGGGGGCCTCTGGACGCTGCGGTTCATCTGCTGGCGCAAGCTGCGGGAGGCAGCCTGGGGCTCTTCCACTCAGTGAAAGCTGACCGTGCTTTCGGGCGTCAGCATTATTCAGGGCACTTCTGAGGATTTTCCACTAGCCAAGTGAAAGACCCCAGCTCCGCCTCGATCATGGAGGCCCGATCCATCATGGCCAACGCCTGTCATATACCAGGAAGAAAGCGGGGCTGCGTGGGTCTGAGTCGGCTCACTGGCGAGTACTGGAAACCCAACCTCCAAAGTCCCACGCCATAATGGGCTGCATGGTGAATGTCTGAGGAACGCAGCCGAGGTTGGCCGCGCTGTAGCTCTCTGCAATATGGCTTGCAAAATGGTCATCACATGGTCAGTTCTTTAGATTAGGCTCCTTTTTGGGGTTACCATTTTAAGCCGGCACCTAGTACCCAAAAAGGGACCATCATTGAGAACTCTCCATATTAATATGGAAGGCAAGAATGGCAAGCAAAACATGCCACGCCGGCGCGCTAGCTGCAGTGCCGCCTAGGCACGGCAGCGTGCTGCGATTGCAATCTGTCCCTAAGGCGTTTAACTTGTTAACCCCAAAAAGCCTCCAAGATATCCTTAAAAGCACCCATTGCGCCCTACATCCTCAACCTTGAGCCACCCTAAACCCTAAACCCTCAAACCCTAACCTCTAAACCCTTAAGCCCCAAACCGTACCCGATGCCCGTGAGTGGGAGCTTCAGCGCCAGGCCCCAGCCGTCGTTGCATAGAGCAAGCGGGCCACCTCAGAGGGTCCCCTTGGAACTTGTGTTTGCGTTTGATTCTTGAAGGGGGTTTAGGGTTTGGGCTTATCGGGTTTAGAGGGTTTACAGGGTTTATAGGGTTTACAGGGTTTGTGGTTAATACTACACATGTCGTTTCGAAGAGGAGGCCTTTGGGGGTTTCGGGCTTCTGGTTGTGGATTTGAGGCGTGATCTATTTCTGGGCCATCTGTGATACCCTCAGCTACAAGGAGCACGTGGTAACAGAGGCCTGCAAAACAAGACATGGGCCGAGGGTTTTGGGGTGTTGGGGCCAGCAATCTTGGGTCAAAACGTAGGGTCGTTTAGGGTTTGGGGTTTAGGGCTTTAGAAAAAAACTTGGGCGTATGAAATCGGGATCTTGGAATGGCTGGGACGAATCAAGCCTTCAGGTAGAAGAACTCCGGACCTCCAAGATTTTCAGCGTTCCGGTACCTTGCCCCCTGTCCTTGCCAGTATGTTCCCGAGAAGGTCCTATGCCCGAGTCCCGAACCCGTAACGAAAGCCGGGCTGCGCATGACTGCAGGAATCTATACTCCCCTTAGGACCTTAAGAAAAATACTACTTTAAATATCCTCTTGGCTTCTATATGAACAAAAATGATAGATAATTCCCCAGGGGGGTATAGGAACGATGAAAGCTCTGAGGCTGCTGCCAAACCCGCTTGCTGAGCTGCCAGAGACGCAAAATGATGCAAACTAGAATTCGGCGCCACCGGGGATCCAGAAGCCAAGGTCTGGTGTTTAGGTTGCTTAGGTTGGGGCTTGGGTGTTAAGGGCTTGGTGTGTGACCATCTGGCCATGTGGTGTGGAACGTGCCCGCGTTGTGCCGGTGCCTGGCGTGCGCCTACAAGCCAGATGGTGTGCTGGAACTCATGGGAAAACGAAAATGACGACACTTCTTATCCATTCGCTGGGCTTGGGCCTCAGGCAGCAGCGAGGGCAAGACGATGCCCAGGTACAGGACAGTCCGCCAGGGCGATGTGAAACAGCTCCGGACTCCGGACACCCTGAACTCGTTGAACTGGCAACATGTAAACTTTACAACTCTCTCCCAAACCCAACTTCCCAGCCAGCCAAAGTGGGATTCTGTCTTCGCTACTTGCTATTGAAAAATTGGGGTCCCATTTTTAAAGTGTGGTCTTGTTACCTATGTGGCAGGCCCTAATGAATCTATAGAACAACCGTTCCCTCCCCCTCATTTCAGCCCCCAAGCATGCCGTTTCTTCACTTCACCGCAAGAGCAAAATTGCCTTCGGCCCATAAGCATGTGAACTGCCTCTGCTCAGCTTTTAGCCGAAGTCCACTTTAACTCTGCAAACCGTAAATTTGCAAAGTCACGATTGGGATCTTCTGTTTCTCCCCTACTTTTGAAGGAGATGTCGACTCAACTCACCCGTTTGGTAAACTGAGTTAAGTCATCTAGGGTCTGCGCGGATGCGACGCAGCTCCGGCCCTCTGCGGTGCATGTCGCACTTGGCGTTCACAGCCGGTCTGCGCCAGTTCGCAAGCGTTTACGCGGAGGCCCGGGGTGCGCAGCCCCTGTGCGCATGCAACATGCGGAGCGGGCAGGGCAGGCGAGTGTCACCAAGCCCTCACCGGACTGGCGTCGCCGGGCGGAGCCTGGCACCAAACCCATGAGTCGCAGTCCGACGTAGGTTGCTTGAGGACCCAGATAACAGTCCTTCATCAAGGTTATGTTAAGGAGCAAGAATCATGGCCGGCTTTTCTGGCAAAAACTGGCTGAAAACGGAACATCCTAACTGATACACAGGTGCGTCAGACTGTTGCTGCCGAACCTTGTTGGCTGGGCGCCGCCCCCTGGCACGTACGGGCTGCCTTTTTTGTTTACTCTTCCGGGGCCTATACCCATGCCATGCAGTCAGTTGCTGGGATGAGGGTGATTCGCCTTGGAAAAACTCGCGGTGGATCGCATCTAAAGTACCCTGACCCGTTAACCTAAACCTTGGACCCCAATCATTTCTGAAGTGGTTCGACCGTTGCATGAGCAGCAGTTCAAACTCCAAACCTAATTTTGGGGTCCGATTCGTGGATGGAGAGCTTCGAGACATGCTTCGAGGCTCGCAAATTGCTGGCTCCATCTATCAAGACCTCTCAGCAACATGTGAATCTGTGCGGCAGGCAGCACATGCAGCAAGCAGCTCTATCCAGGTGTGGCAAGTGGTTTTCCATGTGTGGCAAGTGGTTTGGGCGCTGGACACTAGATTCAAAGACCCTCTGCAATGAAGCAACGGAAGCCGTTTCGGAAGCGGTGGAAAGAGACCACGCAGTCCCATCTGCTGGCATTTGATTGGCTAGCCGAGAAGCATGGCTGCCATTCTCATTCAAACCCGAGTCGCCCCCATGAAGCCTGAAAGCGAGTTCATATGAGGCCCGAGCCCCATACCCTTCGCACCAGACCGAACCCTCTTCTGCATGATGGCCACTAGGATGCTCCCCTCCCCTCACCGTGCACACCTTGCCGCCACGGCGGCGGCGGAGAGTACGGCGCAGCTCACGTCGCCAGCAGTCGTTTCTGGACAAGCGGGGCATGCTGGGGAGACGCGTAGGGAAGCCCCATTGGTCGTGAACATGCCTTTCTCGAGCAAGATACTGATAAACAACGCCAAACTACAGAACACATGGAGACACGCCTGTGCTGCAGCACCACCTGTGCCACACGCTTGAAGCTGCGTGCGGCTGCGGTGGCAGCGGCGGCATCCTCGAAGCGAAAACGGAAACATGTATCAAACTTGACGTCCGGGTTCTACACTTGTAAAGAGCCCACACTCTGCGGGCCCCCGATATCACGAAACTGATGTTCTGCCTGTCGCAGTGGGTTCAAGGGTCCTGGTCTTGCTCCACATAAAGCGCCTCGTGTGCTAGGCGGAGACGCTCCAGGACTTCCTCCAAGGATTTTTCATGGGTTTGTCCTTGCTACGTTGAGGGAGCTTTCAAGCCTTGCAGAGCACTTCGCAACTTCTAGTGGTCCCACTTGCATGTTCTGCATGCTGCCCCAGTCAGCGCGTTCACCCCCCGGGTAAATATCACCTGAGGCTTGAAAGTCCCATTGATCTTCCAAAAACTCTGCAGCGCAGGTTCTCGTGACAAGGTCATCCTCACAATTTGCCATTCCGGAATTCCCTCAGTCAACCTAGCCCGTAACCCATGAACATGGCAGTCGCAATAAATATATAATCATACTGACAACAACATCTGATCGGAAGGCACAACGGGAAAACAAAAAAGTAATCACTGTGACAGTCCCAAATTCGTTCTGTTAATGGCATAACTCTTCATCCCACGGGTCCGCGCAATCACGGTGTGGCAGAGACCGCAAGCGCCGCGCGGCCAAGGGGACCTGGCCCTGAGGATCAGGTTACAGGACCTTGCCGGGGATTAGGGTTTAGGGTTTAGGGGGGCCCTTCGGGGTTTCAGAGGGGCGGTGCTCCTTTTGCCACCCTTCGGCCCTTTTGAACCCTAAAGCCTCAATTCTTGGCGGATCCGAAGCCCTCATCTCTAATACTTGAAACTTACTCCGAGCGCATATGACATGTGAGCCTGTAGTTCGCACGTAGTAAAGTCAACACACTCCAAGCTGCCGTTTTGAACCCCCAATATAGATCCCCAAAAGTAGGATTCCCTTATAATGAGGGACCCCAAGAAGGTACCCCTAATTTCGAAAACCCCAATTTTTCAAGAAAGTGCCACTGCCTGGCAGTCCAGAGCCAGCAACAGACGTCTCCTGGGCGGTGGGCACCGGTGAGCCCCACTCTGCTAACGATCCATGCCCGACTGTGGACGCTTAAAACCACATCTTCTTCGAACGCAGTGATTGATGCGATTAAGCAGAGTTTAAGGGACATGCGGCTGTTGCATTATTGCATGTGCACAGCTGGGCCAGAGGGAAGGACTTGCCACCACGGCAGAACCAGCCGGCCTTGCGGCTAGTGCTGCCTCCAGGTCCCAGCAGCACGGAGAGCCTCTGGACATGAACACGGAAATGCTGGCAAGCTTGCGTGACAGAAGAACGGGATGAGCCAGAACTGGGGGTTGTACTAAATTATGGGGTCCCCTTATCAAGACCATTGACAAGACGAGGATTCCTTACAGGGACTCTAATTTCGGATTACCGCCAAGCTGAGGAGCCTTTTCTCAAGGCTAGACAGCCAGCCACGTACAGTGGAAAGCTGCTAATTTCCCATCTAGAAGAAAACAGTTCAGCGGATCAGAAAGTGCCCAGAGCTTTCTCGTCAGACTCCCAAGCTCCGGGCGCAGGAGCGAGTTGAAGCCTGTGCTGTAGCGAACACGTGCCCACCAAGACTAGGAACCCTCGAATTAAGTCTGCTCTGCAGCTTTTCAATCTTAAGATCCAGAGGCCCGTAGTTGTTGGGAAGGCAAACCTCCCATGAAATACCAAGAAAGCCAACTTCCTCCTGTATTGCACATCTTCGTGAGACACGATAGACAACGACCCGACCCCAGAGTAGTTGTGTGCTGCGTCATTCATTTCCAGAGCTTCCGTCTTTTCCTGTAGATTAGAAGATCAGACATCCAAACGCTAAACGGCGAAACGACCTGATGAAGCAGGGCATCGACATGCAGCGATCATCGGATGGCACTGTCATCTGATCGGCCCAAGATGGCCCAAGCAAGGGGATTCGGGATCATGCTTGCGACATGAAGGCTGTCTAGGGAACAACTGCCCATGGCCGAAACAAACCGTATAAAAACGGGGGCCCTTCACCACGATTGTAAGGAAGTTTTCTCAATCAACCGCAAAATGTTGTTTGACTGACCACGGGTGCTGTAAGCGTTGTTGAATTCGAGATCCAGCCGTACAAAGTGTTGTAAAGCTGCGACTCCAATTTAGGGATGCATACTATCGGTTGTCAGTTGGTGTCTCCAAACCCTAAACCACGAAGCCAGCGCTCCCCAAGCCTCCTCCCAGTTGCACGGCAGCGTAGAAACGCAGGAACAGGGACGCTGGCCTGAGGGTCCCACCCGCAATGATGGATGTAGGGCCGTTAGGGTTTCTTGCGTGGGCTCGGAATTAGGTTTGCAGAATTATGGTCTTCGTGCGGGGGTGCTTCAGTGGAATCCGATTTGGAAAGTAGTGCCCGTATAGACAGTACGAACATGCCATGTTTACCCACTGCTCTCCGAGGTAGAAATGCCTCGTTCTTGCTTTCTCACGGACATAGGCGTCTTGCAGAGCTGCAGAGCAGCGGCAACCTTCAACAGATAAGCCTGTGCACTTCAATGTTTGCAGAACTAGTCTTCATGTCATGCACTCACCCACTGACTGTCGCTGACCCGCGGAAGCGGTGTCTTTGAAAAGTGCAAATTGCAAAGGCAGGTAAGTATCGATCACAAGGCTTTCAAGTGCCGGAACTGGCCAGGGGCTCGCAATGAACAAGAAGTCCAGCCCTTTGCGTCGTCTCCAACAAGATCCCTAGAATGACTCTGAAGCCCCAAACACAGCCCTAAACCCTGAACAAGAAAGAGAAAACACCCGCAACACCTCAAACCCTCCACGGCGTGACTGCGTGGAAACCCAGAGAACTTGGAACAGCTTGGAACATTCTGGGGAATGGCATTTAACCTTGGCCTTTTCAAATTTAAAACACACGCATGATGTTGTTGGCTATGTTATTAGAGTGTTATTAGTCAGAAGCTGCATTTTCAGCCTGAAAACAACCCCGACCAAACCCCCAAAGCCCTGGTGGCTTCTTGAGCCGATGTCGACTCCGGGGTGGGCGCTGCTTTTCCGCGCCGCCTGCGCGCGGCTGGCGCCGCTTTGAGAGGCCTGGCCGACCGGGCGGGGGGGGGGTTTCAGGGCGTAGGGTTTCAGTGGTTTCGGGAGTGTAGGGGCAGGGATGCTTCGGGTGCATATCCTTTCTGTTTTTTAGCACCTCGTCCTAGTGCACATAGGATCATATAGGTTCAGGGTCCCGCTTCTGGGAACGGGTGTCGTATGAGTTGAGGGAGGAGCCTGGAAACAAACACGGCTCCATTAAACCTGCTTCAAGCCATCAGCGCCCAATGATCCCTTTGTTTTTGGGAACAGATACCCTATACAGTCCCAGTATGGCGTACGGACCGTGAACATGGGGCCCCAAGGAGGAAGCAAGCGCCCATAAAGCAGATAGCCTGCATTCACTGCCCCAGCAAGTGATCAGTAAACCAGTAAACCGTGAACATCCTCAACGTGATGTTGTTGCTGCTAGTGGTGCCGCTCCTGGTATCTTTTGGCCGTTGTCACAGACCTGGCCATTTTTGCAAAAGGCACAAAAGGGGAGGGCTTGTGATGGCTCTTGCAGCATCATTTCCATGTGTGGGTTGTTTTAGGTAAGGGTGCCCCATTTGAGGGGTCCTTTGCGTACAGGGCTCTATTGCGGAGTTGCTTCTTTGAGGGACTCCGGCTTTCTGCAACCTCTATGTGGGCGTCGGGAGCTGCGGGAGCTTTCGCTGCAAGGAGAGGGAGAGGGAAAGGGGGAGGGGGAGGGGGAGAGGGAGAAAGAGATGTGCACGTATACACATTTTTCATGCACATTACCAATACACGTAAATGTGTAACATGTATACATATACACATACTACTATGCTACACCAATAACACATTGGATCAGATCTGAGGTGACAGCACACTATGGGCGCAAGTCCATCGCGTCGTGCTGCAAACGCTCAAAGAGGGCATTGGGCCAAATCTGCACCCTGCACGCGAATCCCCTATCAAACGAACTCCTCTCGAACTTAGAACAAAACAGGTGCACCAGGTCTTTAACTCAAGAGCTAAGCCTACAGCCTAAACCCTAAACCCTTGGAGCTTAATTCGAGTCTTTAGGGTTTATGCTTCCAAAAGATGTGCAGTGAGCCCTCTGCCGCCTCGGAGCCTGTGAAGGCTGCTCCTGCAGGCATTGTGCGACACATTGGTAACATATGTATATGTATATATATATATATATGCATATATATTTTTAACTTTCAATGTTAAACAATAATCCGCCGAGGCCTCGGGCCGGAGGTGTATAGGTTGTCAGAACAGGCAAACCCTCCCCCCAAAGCCCTTTTTCGGACCCCTTTTTTTGGCCTCAAATGGGTACCCGGTCGCGTAGCGTTAAAATTAACGAAAAACATACTGCACCAATAATTTTACAAAAAGCAACGTAGTGGTATTGCAGTATAATCTTATGGTGTTTGTAATTTGCAGAATGATTGTAACACTTCAAACCCAACGCGACAACTTTCATGGTGTGCTGTTGCGAATCTGAACCTCGAGATGCAACTGCAATAAACACTTCAGTCCTGGAATGCTCCTGGGGAAGGTAAAAGCAACTCTTTTGCACATGCTGCGTGGCCGATTGCGTTTGAAAGCTGCCTGCCACTTAAGGGGCACAGCTTGCACACATACAGGTCGACGCCCGCTCACTCCATTGCCGCAGCAGGTCGCTTCTTGCAGCGCTTTGCAGTGGCATCATTGTCAGGCTGAGACTGGCGAGCAAGACAGTACTCATAAAACATACGCATGCCAAGCGACGTCTTGCCGCGAGATGGATCGCCTTCTGCCTCTCCACTTGTGAGCCACTTGACATATTTGTTGTTGCCACCGCCATAGACTGACTTGAAAGTCTCGCCTCGGTGCTTGCCCGAAGCCAGGTAGGACCCGTCATAAGACCTAGGTCTCTCACGTACATCTCGCCACATGGGCTGCTCCTGATTCGAATAAGCTTCCCAAAGTTGCCGCAGGTTGAACACTAACTCATCTGAAGAGGCAGACGTGTCTCGGTGGGGATGCAGGCGGTCCATTAAGAGTGCATGCTCCATGTTATGGTACCCCTGCTGCAACACCAGGGTTTTCGTCTTGATGTAGTACTTCAGCGATCCTCCGGAATGCGTCTGGTCAAACTTTCCACTGGCGCACTTCACATGTGAGTGGAATTTGGGCATATGGAACACCAGCAAATTCTTGTTGCCCGTCTTTGGCGCATCTAATGTTCCACAGAGGTGTTCTTGGACAAACTCTTCGACCTCCGACCGCTCCACATCTTTTATTGTGTGAGAGCTACTGGCATCCGCCATGGGGCAACGCAACTATTACTACTACTACGACGACGACTACTACTACTTCTCCTACTACTACTACTACTACTACTACTACTACTACTACTACTACTACTCCTACTCCTACTCCTACTCCTACTCCTAAACGTACACTAATACACTCAAAATGCTACATATATACCGTATTGCTGTATGAATCCTACGATTGACCTATACAAACTCTGTGTTCAGAGAGCCCTCTGCAGAGGAGCGCAGCATAGCTGAGTTCGCCAGCTAGTGATTGTGGGGTCAAGCTCTGTCCATCTGGGGGTTGACGATATGAGGGGTACCTTATTGGGGTCCTTGATATCAACGGGATCATACTATTTGGGGGTCCTACTTGGGGGGTCCCTTACTATCGTAAAGCCCCATCTGTGCCAGCCTGACAGGTGTGCTGCCAGCGCCTGGCGGATTGCCTGTCCATGTCAAAGCACACTGGGCATCCGCAGAAGTTCGGCATTTAGGGTTTAGGGTTTAGGGGCACACGGTGGCATCAAACAGAGCGGGCCTCATCAAAGGGCTTGCCCATGCTCAGGGCACCCTTGACAAACCTGCCGGCGGCTGCTTCTGCAAGATCCCAAATTGCTTCAAGGAACCCTCTGCCCGAAACCTTACACGCTGAAGTCTGTAGGGTCTCTCACTGAGTCACGGAGCCTCTTGGCATCAGTCAGAACCTGCGGCAGGGCTCCAGACAACCAGAAGAACGCAAGCTGAAGTTCACAACAGTTCAACTTCACTTCGGGCGTTTGGGTTGTGCGACCTTATTCGTGGAGTAGCCAGGGTCGTATGCTGGATCTCTGATGTGAGAAGTGCGGAGTTTCTAAGTCTGTAGCGCGTGCACGACCCCTGTAATGGGAAGCCCTTGCTGCGCAGGTGGGCCGAGCAGTTCATCGTTAGCAGCTTCCATAACTGAGTGGTGCTTTGAAGCCCTTTGAAAATTACTCATGATTAGAATCCCTTAAAGGGAAATTTTCAAAACATCTCAAAGTACTACCCAGATAAGCAGACCCGTTAACACAGCACAAGGTCCACAAAGACGTCGAAGAATTGGTACGCCACATCCCCACTTTTCGGCTCGGGATCCTAACCTCCCTTTGCCAGCCTCACTGTCACGAGCTGCTGTGTGGTAGTCCCTCCGCATGCGGGAAATGACGTGTAAGCCCGGCAGGCACATCACAGCGTAGTACCTGGGACCGGGTCTAAACACCGAGTGCCTAGCCTAGTCCACTGATGTGGGGGGGGGCTCTGTGATACGAGAAATCTGACAACAGCTTGGGATGGCGCCAATGACTGGATGCGCCAGAGACCCGCGAGCGTTGGCTGAACGTGACCACGCTGCTCCTCTCAAGCCGCTCAAGCAGCACGAGCTCTGCCAAACGAGAGATGATGTTGCACCGCTCGAGTGTGTTAAGCTTGTTGACCTGGCATGTGATTCCCGTTAGCAAGATATGAGCTAGGGTCTCGAGACCTCTACAAGTTCCTTGGCCATTAGAGTCATGATGTTGAGGTCTGCACCTCTCGCTCGAGGTAGAGGTCGCGGGCCTGCAGCGCCAGCTCTTCACAACTCTTCACGTAAAGATTCTCGTCTCAGCACTTCCGGCTCCAGTTTGAACAGCTTGTTGGTAGCCTAAGTGTCATGAGGACCAGGCCTCTGTCCATCCGGCTGAGGATGCTGAGGCTCCTGAGGCACAAGGGGTGCACTGTACGTGTCTGTATATATCCGGCCGCACAGAGTAGACACGTGTGTGCATGCAGCATGTGCTGCATTGTCCCTCTATCTGTCAATCTATCCATTATGCCTTCCCCCCGGCTGGGATCCACACCCTTCCTCAAGACATGCCAAGCGTATGCTATGCATGTGTGCGTAGCCCCATGATATTGCAGACACGACAAACGAACTTCATTGAAAGTATAGTAACTTAGTGTGTAACCCATGGGCACCAAAAACAATCTACATGACCGAGGCATTTTTGTTTGAGTTATGTTTAGACAAACGGCAATTTGAAGTACAGTTGCTGGCTGGGATTCCGGTACTGGCATGGAAGCTCATGCGACGGCTAAGTGAGGAACGAGAGTAAGTACATGGGGGGGAGGTTATGCTATGTACATGCATGTTTGCATAGCATCATCCGTTTATGCATACATTTTGTGTGTATATATATATACTTCTACACACAGGACACTAATCATTTGCATTTTCCATACATACAGATAATCCAGATACACATGCTCCCTGCAATGCCCGGCCCAGACCTCCTCGTGTTGCCCGGTGGGCTGCGCGCCAGCCAGAATCCAGGACTGACAGATATGGGAACTCAACACATGGGAGTTCGCTGTGAAAGAGAGAGGGTTTGGGGTTTAGGGTTTAGGGTCCCCATTTTGCATGCAGCTCCTTCAATGTATGATGAGAGGGTTCTGCGACAACATGTACCCTAAAAGGGAGACCCGAGTTTCTAACACCACCCCCAACCCACCCCCCCCCCCCTCTCAAAATCCTTGAACACAAAAAACAAGAGCCCAACCTTCTTCGGCCTGGGCCCATTTCCAGGAAAATCCCAGACACAGCATTTGGACACCAAGATCTACCAAGCCACTAAGGGAACACCACCACCAACTGAGATAACGCAACCTGCAACCCCGAGATGGTCCAAGAGCCTCCCAAAGACATCAGTAGGGTTGGGAACTAGGTACGTTGGAAATAAACCCAAGATAGGAGCAAAAAGGGGATGTAAGACATAAGGTACCTAATCACCAAGAAGCCACAAATTGTTAGCCTAAGATTCGCCTCAAGCGGCGAATCCCTCAAGCTTGTAGCGGTTCATGAATGCCTTGACCACTGCGAGTGTGCAAAATTACTAGATGTACTGTCTTCAAAATCATGGTCCTTGCCTGGTTGCGACTCCCATTTCTACTAACTGATCAGGATCTGGCAAACAAGCGGTGCTCTTTTGCCATCGAACGCCGCGGCGAAGGAACTCCTCGTGATGTCCTTCGGGTCTGGGGCTTCTTACTATGTAGGGCTTCAGCAACCAGAGGGCACAATTGATTCTTCGCAAATCATATTGGTGGCAGAACTACGGCGCCTGATCACTCCACGATCCCAACACATACACACACTCATACACACTCCACACACACACACACAAACATTCACATTTGAGTCAGAAACTGTCCAAAACTCCTGAATCCTGACCACTTTAGCAGCAAGTGTGGCACCCAACGCAACAGTCCAACCTCCCCAAACTGTCACAAAACGCCTCATGCCAGATTTCCCTCCCAGACGTGGGATCATCCATCTCCTGAAGTTCCACCGAACCTGCCGCATAGAGCTCCGCACAAGCCTGGGTTCGGCAACTTTAAGTCTCTGCAACTTCCATGAATAGGTGATGGCGGCCGGTGACCGGATGAGATTCTCAAAAGCTTCTTTTTAAAAAACAACATACACAGGCACACACACACACACACACACTTACATCCCTGGAGCCCTTAAGCCCCAGGCCCGACATGTAACAAAAAACATGCAGGCAGTTGAAGGCAATTGACATGTGAGGGTTTATGCTAATAAGGAATTTTAATTTTGACTAATTTAGACCCCCCAAATAGTAGGATCCCCTAATAATAAGGACCCCAAGAGGGTACGCCTAATCTCGTACACCCCCCTTGTCTGGGCCAGGACGCTTGGTCTTCCTCCTCCCAGGCTGCCCGCCATTGCCGCGCGCGGTCCTCGAAGCGGTCGACTGCCTTCCTTCGCCAAGTCGAAAGTCAGGGTTTCAATGGGCTTGCAACCGGCTTTCAGGGGTTTCATAGGGATGTTTTGGGATGCTTACGGTTTGATTTGCAGGGGGCTTGGTGCACCTGGGTTTTCGGGGTTGCTAGTTGCGGACGGAGCCCTCATCCTTGAAGCATCAAGTTCATGGCGCATCTTCACTCACTTCCAACCAGGACCTTGCGACCCTGATCCGAGAACCCCGGGTGCCGAATGCGCTGAAGACTACAGCTTCAGCATTGAACTCGATGCAGCCTTGCTTCTTGCGCTCCCGGGCCAAGGTGCCGCGCACACGGGCTTCGAGGGGGTCACTGGGGCGTGTCTGCCCTGTTCTCTCGTTGAGCCAGACAGGCTTTCCATCGCTCACCGTCGCCACCCACTGGTCACGGTTCTTCGAGCGATCCAAGGCGTGTGAACGGGCGAAGGCCTCCAAGCCTTTCGCGTAGCCCTGCCACTGCGCCTCGAAGCGCCGCTCATTGCGCGCTTCGAAGTCGGCGCGGCGTTCGGTCTCCTCGGCCTCGAAAAACCACGAGGTCAGCATGGAGAGCTCTGCTTGGAGTCCAGGTAACCAAGTACGCCGAACTCGCTCGTAGTTGAGGCTGTGCCTCCGTCGACGGCGCAGCTCCGCGAACTGTCGCTTCCTAGGCTTGTGCACAAGTGCATCTAGTGGGGGGGCTTCGGTCGTCTTTGCGAAATTCTTTGATGGTTGCGCTGCCCCTGCAGTCTACAAGGTTCGACACCGCAAGCTTTGAGAGATTGTAGCAAAGTATGGCAAAGGAGTAGGAACTCTGCTTTCCCAGCATCGCTGCGGCAGTCAGCACCGGCAGGTCAGATGCCGTTTGCAACCTCACTTATGAGCCCCCACGACAGTGTCTTCAGGACGGACTGACTGGCAACAAGCTGTGTGGAACAAGAGGGAACAAGTGGGTCCTGCACCTACAGCAGCATGAGCCCAACCCGAAAACCCTTAACTCAACATGAATCCAAGGCCACACAGAACTCCTCAGAACCTTCCAGGAACGCAGAACAGAGGCAAGGCACTGGCGGGCCGCAAGTGTGGACGCCCGCGTGAAAGGGGGATCCCAACCTGGCGCGACCCTACTGAGGGTTCAGGGTGCTTTGGGCTTAGGGTCTAGGGTAGACTCAGCAGGTTCAGAAGGTTTTGAGGTGATGTGATACAAGCACAAAGTAGCACAACGCGGGCCCTGCATGAAATGACTACCCTCAGGACACACAGCAACATCTGGTAATCGACTTCCGAGTAGCAATAGCTCCAGCCCTTCCGACTCCAACGACCTTGACAGGTTTGGTCAGTTTCGGCTTTCAATCGTGGCTTTCTGCGGGGGGTTGATCTAAGAGCATAATTAAGCCCCATCTGTTTCGAGATTAGATTATATTCAGGGCTGAACCCCGGGCTCCGAAGTCCCAATGGGCCTCCAGTCCTCAGCCCTTCTGTGAAGCATGGGGCAGAAGCCTTCTTGGGTCAACATTTCCTCGGGCTTTGTAGGGCCTGGCTTGGGCCTAAGGGTTTTGAGTTTCAAGCGCTCGTTTGGGTGGCTTTAAGGTTTTATACATCAGTAATTTTTGGGGGTTGGAAGGATTCTTGCTTCAAAGGCTTTTTAAGAGGTTTCAACCCTGCAGCCCTGAACCCTGGCTTTTGGCAGCCAGGTGCCTCGGCAGAAGGCTTGGATCCGAAGCGCCGATGCTTTAAATGATGGCAGGGAATCCTGGTCCTCAGCATACGGGGTTTAGGGTTTAGGGTTTAGGGTTTAGGGGGGTCTGGTTCGAGGTGCGGTATCAGGGTATGTTCGCATGGACGTGACATAGTTTGCTCTAGGCTAAACTGGGATTGACGATGCTGCCATTCTAAGGCGGGCAAACAGAGGGCGGGCCATTAGACAAAACAATCTTCAACAAAAACGTCGTTTGTGCTCACTCGGAGATTGAATTCATACTGTAGACTATCGCACTCGTCAGTTCAAGACTCCCCTCTTCGATAAGCTGCCGATCCGTGCCACAGACGTGTCGCGCGCAAAAAGCGTCGAATACGCCGCTGCAATCGCTGGAGGAGGCACTTCACCCGGATCTTGTCCACCGTTTGGTGTAGCTGGCGCAAGCGTGGCAAGATAACGTTCCGAAATGTGCGCTGCAGCTTGTTAGCGGCCTTGACGCGCAAAGCTTCCTGGCACAGCTTCCTCCTCTCGAGAGCACCGGACATGGCTCGGCAGATCACCCTTGCGGCACGCCTTTGTCGCAGCTTGAGCAGCTGCAGCTTCAGTCGCGCCTCACCTGGAAAGTTCTTCTCCGCGGCTGCATACCACCTGTCCCATGCGTGAAGCATCGATTGGGGAGCCTGAGAGTTTCGTGGCTCCTGTCGAGCCATGCTCAACTTCTGGTACAGGAGCATGTTCAGATATGCCTCCTGCCCAAAGTTGTTTTTTGGAGGAGGGGTCTTCAACAGGCGTCCTGTCTCGGCCTGGGCAGTGGCTGCTAGTCGCACCAGACGGGCGGAAAGGCTGTCACTCTCGCGGGGGGGCGGAGTAAGAGCCGAGAAACGCGGTTGCAGCTCCTCGTATCCGGCCAGGGTGTCACACAACAAGGCCTGCAGCAACACGCGGTGCCCGTCGGGCAGCTTCGAGAGATCCGCCAGCAGGAGGTTCTCACGCCAGGCGCGCCACTCTTCCCGAATTGCCAGCTCTTGGAGCTCCGTCCTCGGCTGGGAATGAAACCGTATCGTGTCATCAGGTTGGATCTCTGACTGACATCTAAAATACCATTCAATTCTGCCTTACATAAAATGATTATTATGATACGGAACTCGTGGTTGTACCTAGCTGCGGGCCTCATGATGTCAGAATAAGTTATCAGAATTTTTTTCTCCTCAGACTGCTCCACAGCTGAGGCCGAGGGGCGGCTTGCCGATGCCATTGGACAGCATATTGGCAGAGCAAGCTCGCCGCCAGTCCTTACAAGGCTCCCGCCGGCCCGAACCATCAAAATTCCGTTTAAGGTCCCACCCCAAAACTCCATGCTGGCTAATGTATGTATGTATGTATGTATGTATGTATGTATGTATGGTTAATACATACATATACAAACCTCCTTCAATCCCATCCCTTCCTCCCCGTTTTCTTTGTCACTCAGTCCTGCTGCCTCTCGAGCGCGAGGCCGCGGAGCTCCGAACACGCAGCGTCCACAGAGTGGCCCATGGCTACCATGCTTCAGAGAGAAGGGTGTTTCCGAAATTCGGGGTACCTTGTTGGGATCCTTATTTTGAGGGTTTAGGGTTTTGGGGTGCCTTATTGGGGTCCTTCTTTTAAGGGTTTAGGGTTTAGCGTTTAGGGATACCTTATTGGGGTCCTTATTTTCAGGGAGTTTTACTATTTGGGGACCTAGGTCCTCTACTTTCATAAACGCCCAGAACTTCAGGGCATCCTCGTGGCTTCATCCCGATGCTACATGGGTTGTTCCGTTTCTTTGGGGGGATTCTTCCGAGGAGAAAAACTCTTGGCTGCCTTAGCTTTCGTTGTGCCGTGGCACCGGCGTCTCCCTGAGCTTTGCATGCTTTTAATGGCTTGGACGACGATCCCGTGCAGAAAAGGCTTTGGTGCTGCGGAATGGAACATCCCTGGATGCGAAGACATTGGCGCAGGGGCGTCTGGAAACCCGAGCATAGCTAAATCCGACAGGCTTCGACATTCCCATGAGCGAGCTGGCATTGAATCTGTGGAGACTGCTGCAGGCCCCCCTAAACCCTAAACCCTAGAGCCCTAAACCCTAAGCCCTAAGCCCTAAACCCTAAACCAAAAACCCTAAACCCCTGAACCCAAAACCCTACTCCCTAAACCCTACACCCTAAACTCAACACTCTGAACTAAACCCAAGTTCAACACCCCCAAAACTGCAGCCTCGAGCCCTCGGCGCTCAGGCTCCGTGAGGTCCGCTTTCAGCGCCTCGGCCCGATGCCTGGGACTTGTGGGTGTTGGGTTTGGGTGTTTGGGTGTTTAGGGTGTTTAGGGTGTTTAGGGTGTTTAGGTGTTTAAAGGTTTGTGTGTTTAGGTGTTAGGTGTTTAGGTGTTTAGGCTGTTTAGGTGTTTAGGGTCTAGGGTTTAGGGTGTCAAGTTTGAGGTGTATGCAAAGGCCCGGACGTGGGGCTCAGTTTTCCCAACAGCCCGTAGAGCTCCTGGAAGAAGGCCTCCCAGCACTGCCGCCATGAGGTCTGCATCTGTTCAGCTTAAGATATAAGGGCGCCTAATGGGCCTAATAGCTGCTTGCCAGGAACCTTTGGGGCACGCACAAGTCACAAGGTGTGTGCTACGACTCTCAGGGTCAAGGTCCCCGTAAGAGGCACCAGCTTGATCAACACTGTATAATGAGACAGTGGGTGCCCTCAAAAAAGCACAGCCTAAGTCCGTGGAGGCCCCACAGTGCAATCTATCCGATCCGAATGGACAGGGCTTGCAAGTTGGGGTAACATTGGGGTGCTGTGAAATTGTGACAAATGCTGGGGCGACCCGGTACGGGGCCAAACGCTCTGAGTGAACCGTGCCGGAGATAGCTGTTCTGGCAAGACGTTCAAGAGTACAGCGCATCATGTCACCTTGCTCCCAGCTTGCGCCTCGCTGTTGCAGCGAGGATATTCCGAGGGTCCTGCACATAGCTACATAGACTGCATAGGGGTCCATGGCTTTTGCATCTTGCTGAGACAGACTCTTCTGGCCACAGTGTTTAGGCGATGACTTCCACCTTCTCTAGGAAGGAAGGCATGCAGCCTTTTGAGCACCCTCCGTCTTCGGGAAAGATGTTCTTTGCTGCTGCTGCTGCTGCTGCTCAGAACGAAAGGATACCATAGTGCACTCCTACCGATTTCATTGCGGGTACCCAAAAGGCCGGGGGGGGGGCGGGGTGGTGAGGAGGGAGGTGCGCCAACTTTCCCCCCTTCACCCTACGACCCTATGAGCCCCCATTCCCCCCACCGCACCCACTTGCCACCTCCCCCCCTCTCCGAAACTGCAAACCTTGAAAAAACAACTCGGTCCTTGGCTGTTGGCGCAGGGCTCTTTGCATGTCAAGGTCATGCAGTGGGTGTCAGAGACCTGCACACACATAGCGTATACGGTGTACTGTATACTGTATACTGCATGCTGTATATACATATAGTATTCCATGTATTTAGATACAACATTAAGTATAAGCAACATCAAACATAAAACATTTTTAACATTCAGCGAAAACATAGTGTAAATATGTCTTACATATATGTATCTGTAGGTATAAATAAATGTGCACTGTACAAATGTTCTGCCCACAATATAGATTGCAGACTCAGACTCTACATCGTACAACATATGTTATGCCCTATATCTTGTACGAGTGTTAAACCCTAACCCCAAAACCCTGAACCTTGAGATGTGATCTCCTTGATGAGGGCTGATTAATCTGGTATTCAAACTGAGCCCGCGTCTTTGAAATCTGCCATGCTGGCAGAGTCCTCGAAGAAACACTATAAGCTTGAGTTTGGGGGCAGCTTTTTTTTTGGGGTCGGGGGGAGGGGGGGGTGAGGGGTGCGGGCCAACTTTGGGGAGCTCTGGGTTTAGGAGGGTTGTGAAATGACGGAGAAACGGCCAAGAGCCTTGCCAAGAGCCTTGGGGGGTTTAGGGTTTAGTTTAGGGCCATGCTGCTTGGGCGGTCCTTGCTCATGTGGAAGCTGGATTAGGCCTCAGCCGCCGTGATGGCTGCTTGCGCGCGAGACTGCCACCTATCACAACGAGCAAATGACTCGAACAAAACCAATAACAATATAGCATCACTGGCCATGCTTCTGGCAATGATTGTAAATCAGAACGACGCTTTTCTACTCAATGAGTCAAAGTTAGAATGTTACAAATATATGCCCACAAGCAGCCTAATGGAGTAGCCTCCCTGTGCTCAGGCCCCCGCCCTCCTACCGCGCCTGCCACAGGAAAACAACAAAAGTCGTCGCATTCACAGCAGGAGGTTCATTACATCGTTGGAGATTTATGGTTCAAAGTCATTTCTTACGATTTTGTGGAGTTTTTTGGGGCTGAGGATTTGAGGTTTCCGGGGGTCCCTACAAGTCGCAGCATGTGGATTCATCCTAGTCGGACGTGCCTGGGCAAAAACTCCATGCTCCACTTCCCGCCTGAAGGCCCTGAATCATAGTCCTTAAGCCCTAAAGTCCAAACCCACTCAAACCCTATTTGAGCCAAGTCCTGTATGCCCCACACCCAAAATGGCTGTCCCTGACCGAGCCTGATCCTCCTCAGAGACCTCGCAAGCCTCCTCCTCCTTTCGGCCCTCCTGGGGTTCCATGATGGGTTTAGGGTTTAGGGTTTAGGGGTTTGGGGGTTTAGGGTTTAGGGATGATGGAGTTGCTACATTTGGGGCTCTAGAGGAGTCCGGTTTCGGACTTGGGGCTTTGCAGCTGAGCACTTAGGAAGGGCCTTTTCCTTAGAGTCCTCCGATCTGCCCAGTCTCGAAAGTACCTTGTAAAGTCGTACCTGCTTCAGTGGGGGCCCGCTGTTTGAAGCCAAGTTGACCGGGCTGTCCAAAGTGGGACCCGCAATTGAAGTCAGATCGTCCGGGTATCGTAAGAAAATACCGCGCGGCGCGCCTTCAAAATCAATTGCCGGGTCGGTTTTAAACTTGTATAAACTTCTCCCGATTAGCATCATAAAAAACCCATGGACTGTGTAGCAAGGCGACAACCAACTTCTCGGGGAGGGAACACACTAAAGTCACTAAAGGCGATGCAACATTTTAAGAGTTATCTTCTGGACATCCTCTTATGATCAGGGCTTACCATCAAGATTCATCAAGGGACTTGATTCTGCCCAAAAGCCCCATCTTGTAGCCCCAAACATCTTTTTAACCGCTGGCCCCCCCCCCCCTCCCCGCCCCCCAAACCCCTAAAGATAGAGCCCCAAACATGCAAACCTTACGTCCTCAACCTCCCCCCCTCCAAACCCTAAACCCTAAACCCTAAACCCTGAACCCTCCAAAGACTTCGTAAACCTTCTGTAAACCTTCATGCTCTCCTGCCCTCGGGGATGGTCATCTCCATATCGCCCAGTGTGACGAGGCCGGACACCACCTCGATGACCCATTACCCTTTTACCTTTACCTCAAACCCTAAACCCTAAACCCTAAACACTAAACCCCAAACCCTAAACCCTAAACCCTAAACCCTGTTCGGTCCCTCTTCGGGTCCCCCTCCCCCCCTCCCTCCCCGCCGCCCCCCAAAGCGGGACTCGAGTTAGGAGACCTACCCTAAACCCTAAACCCTAAACCCTAAACCCTAAACCCTAAACCCTAAACCCTAAACCCTAAACCCTAAACCCTAAACCCTAAACCCTAAACCCTAAACCCTAAACCCTAGGGCTTGTTCTAGACTAGGTCTCTTTCTGTCCCCTTCGGCGGGGGAGAGGGGGGCTTGCCGTTTGGGAGTCCGTTTCACAAAAAGGTGCCTGTGAAGGGTTCCTGATTTTAGAGCAATCCTCTTTGTGGCTCCAGAATTTAGGGATCTTAGGTTCGGGGCTCCAGAATTTGGGGATCTTAGGTTCGGGGCTTATGGGAAGGTTCAATGTGTGAAGTTCAGAGGCTGAAGTTCATCAAACCTGCCCTGTGGGCTCGAACAATGCGTTTTTTTTGGTACGAAATGGGAATCCCCAAGACCAGCTTCTCAGGGCCTATCACGTTGTGACCCGGTGGGCAGGGCTTGGCTATGACAAAACCGTTGTGTAAGGCAGGCAACCTTGTGTACTGGACTACTAGTGCCCTTTGGCCGAGACACGGAGTGCGAGGAGGAGATCATGATGTCAAAGTTGTGTCCTGACGCCACAAACTCCCACCTGCCCTGCAAATACCTTGACACCTGCACCTCATGGCAAGCATACCGAGGCCCACACAACAAAGCGTGACCTCGAGTGCAGTGCAGGTGGTGCTTCATATGTTCCCTAAATCATGGACCAGAAGCAGCACCCCTTGCCAGCCCAGCCGACAGGTCACTTGATAGCTTCCAGGTGGTGCGTGACAGCCACGATTCCAATGACTTGGAAGCCGAGGCACAGTGAAGGTTCTTCGCCGGGTGCTGGCGAAGGGCTTTCGCTAAAACGAGCCAAAGCAGCAGCATGGCCCTCCATCAGCTTTAAACACCAAACATCATGATATCATGGTTCACCACCAGATCAGCTGGCACTAAGGGTCTCTGCAAGCCATTTTGAGAGCAGCAGAATCTTTGCTCCCAGGGTGAAACGTCCGAGGCGTCCTACAGCGCTGTAGTGCTCGGCTGGCTCCGAGCTGGAGCTGTGCCTTTGGCACAGCTCCAGCGACAAGAAGCTAAATTGCATGCTCCGAAGCACTGCTAAGAAACATCTACTTCTTGGTCTTTGTTGTCTTGGTGCCATCACATGGGGGATTCTCTAAGTGAAGGGGTCTTTTTGTGGGTTCTCTACAAGGCCTCGTAAAACAACTTTAAACGGGATCCGAAACCCTAACCCGCAACTCACTAGGTGCAGTCTCAGCGCGCTCAGTTATGTGACAGCGACTCAGGTGCCCAAGCGCCGCCCTGGCAAGGATTTGGATTTTTGGGGTACGAAGCTCGGGGAAAGCCCCCCCCCCCCCCCCAAGCAGTTGCAGCCCCCCAAAACCCTATAACCTATAACCTACAACCCATAACCCTAGACCCTGAACCCCCTCCCCCCCCTCCCCCACCCCTAAACCCGCTACTAAACCTTAAACCTAAACCCTAAACCCTAAACCCAAAACAAGTCGTGCCGGTAGGGCATGAGCCCAGGGAGTCGATGTCCTCCAGTCGTTGACACCTCCCACAGAAGAGAAATGCTTGAGGCTTTAAGTAAAGTCCTGAAGAGGGATGATGGTACCTCCCTAATATAATCCCTATTCAGGACTCTAGCATAAGGGGAACATCCCAAGGTTTAAGGTTTCGGGTTTAGGCTTAAGGGGGCTTCCGGCTGTAGGGATTTAGCGTCCGGCATGGTTTACGTCTTTTTTGGTTTCAGTGGGGGTTTGAGTTTGAAGGCTCTGCCGCAACACGGTCTACGAGCAAGGATGCGTAACATGGCTTGTCGCTGTGCTGTTCATGCCGTGGCTTCGTCGAAACGTCTGAGGTTGCAGGATTTGCCGAAACCATACTCTGCTGGAGCCTCTGCACCTCAAGAAGAATCCCAGAACCCCAAATCCAACATCCGCCCCGAAGCCTCAAGCCTCTCTGCCCAGCCCAGCATCTCCAAACCCTGAGATTTTGGGATGTTGCCCCTTACACTAAGTGTCCAAAATAGGGATTCTCCTAAGGGGCTACTCTAATCCCTAAGGCCCTAGGGACTGTTCGCATAAGGGGGGAACATCCCAATTGAAAGCCCAACGGCACTCAAGCCCTGAGTCCCTCCATCCCTGGTGCCAGCTCTCCCACGCAGTGTAGTGAGATCTGGCAGGCTACCACAGGTGCCCATCCTGGAAACAGAGAAGGTTCGGTTTACTTGCGGTTGGAAGTCCCAGTTGCCAAAGATACTCTTGAGGGCCCATGCCCTGTTCTACTCACGATGTCTTCAGGTGTCAAGTTCCAGCCAACGTAATCCCACATGTCCCCACATGCCCCCAACACCCTGAGCTATGAAACCAACCAGTCCTCAAGAACTGCGGCGCCCGCAACTCAACCAAGAAACGCAAACCACACACACTAACAAACCTCCGAAGCCCTCATCCACTCCAAAGCCGACACCCTACACATTCCTACACTTTCAAAGGCAGTATGCGATCGCTTTCCTGGTCCAGGGAGGAAAGGAACACCTGAAGCCCCAAAATCAAAGCCGTCAACGGCCCCCAGTCCTTGGGTTGATGCTGGCGACGCCTGCGGCTCGGAGGCCGGGGAGGACCTCGGTTAGTTTGGAACGTTCTTGAAAGGGGCGGGGAGAGCAATCTCGCACCATTCTGATCTGTAACTACGAGGCATGGAACCAGATACAGTACGTGTAGGGGCGTTGGGGGGTGGGGATGGTAGCAAAAACTATAACAAGGCCTCCAGACTGTAATCCCTGAACATTCGAGCGAAGGACTTACAAGGCCGACATAGCCCTGCTGCAAGGGTGATGTACCCTAAGGGAATGAGGGTGGTAATGGGTGGTAGGATATTGGAGGGCATCTGCTGGCAACAGGGTTTTCAGGGTTCGGGGAGCCCCAGGGGTGGGGAAAGAAACAAGGACGCCCTTTTTTCTCGGGGGTTTCCAAAATACGGTTTGCGGCAAATCGGGGATAGCCCTATTTTGGGAAAACCCCAAATCGATGTTCGACACTGGGAGACAAGATGCTCAAATCACAATCTCCTGAATCCCTAAACCCTAAACCCAACACCCCGAGCCTCGGCGACCTTCCGAATCCGGTCCTGGCGTTGCTGGTTGAGCTCCACCTGGGAAGCCAAGATGAAAGGTTGGAGCTTAGAGTTCAAAGCACGTTCAAATCATACACAGGGCAGGCAGGCCTATGCAGGTAAAGCCCCCACCCCCCCACCCCCCAGCCCCCCAGCCCCCAAGCCCACCCCCCAGCCCCCCAAGTTGTCCACTTCTGCCAGCCAGCCACCCCTGTGGAAGCACGAGTCCCCACTTCAGCAAACGATCATGGCTCTCATCTTGCACAAGCCGGCAGCTGCAATCTGCAGCGGTGCCTTTTTAGCTGCCACTGCAGCTGCTCGACTGCCGTGATGTTGAGCTTCCTCCCCACGTCCTCCTTTCCCTTCTTGAGTTGCTCAGCTCGCAGCTTTACAATGATGCAGGAGCAAAGATACATGGCCAGTTCAAGTTGCAGGCCGGCTCAGCGAACTGCTCCGATTTCTTGGGCATGCTTTCACTCTCACATGGATCCGAGCTCACCGCTTGGTTCCGGTAGTGGTTATGCCTGAGATGCACATGAGATGAGCTTGATGCGACCGACCTTTTACCCACAATATGGTCACTTCTCTGTATTGTGGTCCCTTTTGGCCTTCCCGTTTCTGAGGCGGCCCCCTAATAGTTTTCAAAAAGGGACCCCTAAACCCTAAACCGGAATACTAAAGGTACCCCAAAAGGGGACCATCATTTCAAGAGAACTGGGGCCCCTGGGGTCCTGGCCCATCTTCCTCGCGATGCATATTGCACGCCACCTCGGCTGGGCCAACGCTTTAACCCTAAACCCATTGTTAGCAGATTGTTAGATTATCCTTGTTATGATTAGTATTAACATAATTTCTACTGTTATTATCACTTTTCTTGTTCGTATGAATCAGGCACTGCGCCGTCTCCGAAATCTCTGGAAGACTGGACATATGGCTTTGAAGTTCCTCCTGCATCCTCAAGTCTTGAAATGAGGCCATTTCTTTTGAAAACTCATTCGCGCTGCTGCCTTTCTCCGGAGTTCTGAGGAACAAGAGTCTGAGATAAGGCCTGCCACAAGTTGTAAACCCTGTGCGCTATGGCCCCGCGCGGCACGAAGCTCACGGGCTGCGGTCATGGCAGCGTCATGCGCCTGGCGCTCCTGGTGATGTGGTGGTCAACAGTGTGAAGGCCTTCGGGTCCCTTGGGTCTTGGGTAGGGGACATAATTACATGTAACTAATTTGGGCCAGTGGAGGGCAACGGTTGAAATCGCACCTTCCTGTCAGTGTGAGGCATGAGGCCCGGTGGAAGGGTGCCTGCCCTACACTTCCCTAAACAAGGGACACACGACAGAAGTCCCGATCGTCCACGCCACTCACGAACTTCACCATGCCTCAGAGGGCAGAAAAGGGCAGCAAGAGAACCCAGGAGTCGGCTGTAGAAGGGGGTCGTGAAGGAACCAGCGCCACCATCCAAGAAGAAGTAAACTCAACAACATCCAAGAACGCATTGTAAACACCAAGAAGCCCTGTTACATCCAGGTTGCTGTTTCGGTGCGCCCTAACCCTCAACCGCCCATGCAAGAGTCCCCAGCCACGCTCACCTTTGCCGCTACTTGCACATTGCAGCCGGGTGGTTAGGGACTTTCAGGTTTTAAGAACACTAGTTTACGTAGGGATGCTGTTGGTGTCCGGCCGCTGAGAAAGCTACGCAGCTCTCTTTCTTAATCTGGACGCCCGTGCAGAATGCCCAACTCAATGTAGCTGCCAATCTGAGCACGCCGCTAGCTGACCGAGTCATCCTCGGCGGCTGATCGTGTGCGCAAGCCATGCCAAAGGATAGCTCGGCCCTTGCTGTCATGCTCTCGCCTGGTGTACGTGATGTCCCCGACAAGCTTTCTGCGGGTCTGATGCGCTAGGCACCAGGCTGTGAGATGTTGAGGGGCTTCCCATTTTCCATGGGCATCGTGGAAATCTGCCAGGAAGCTCAGATACAGTGACGCACCAAAGACCTCATGTTATTAATCATTGGGGGTCGACATGGATCCTGGCCTGCATGTCCCGCTCGAACTTCACTCCCGGTCGAAGGGGATCAGTCCCGATGTAGGGAACATACTGAACCTGACATGGCACAGGAAGTGGGCGCAACGGGTCGCAGAAGAGCCCAATCAGAGACTTTTTTCTGGAACTGGGACTCCCAAGAGCTGCATTCAGCAATGGCACTGTGAAACATGCAGTCCTTGCGGCAAGGAGCGGCTGCTGCTTGCAACTGTTTGGCTGCTGTGTTTCTGGGTGGCCCATGAACCCCGCAGGATAACAAGGGCAGGGAACCCTTTGCCCGCAAAACGCAGATCGGGGGTAACGGGGTGCAGAAGCTCAGACTCGAACATGCCCAGCGAAGCCATTGCCGGTCCAATGCCTAGTCTCCAATGAAGAACACAAGAGAAGGCAAAGAGAACGATGCATATACATGCATGTTTGCAATTTTTTTTTAACATGCTATTTCTATTGCGATGAAACTTCTGAGGACTAGTGAAAAATCTCTTGAAAAGAGATTGCAGCAGGAGATAAACGAAGTGGATTTGCATAACTTACATCACGAGGATCCCAAGGTTGGACGGTATAATAAATGAGCAAACACATCCAAAAGAAGGATGCGCACAACAGCGCTCCAGAAAGCAAGGCGTCGTGTGACTTCTTCTTAGCTCTTCAAAGGCTTGATGAGTTTACTGCGGGTTTGGGGCTTAGGTCTTACAGGGTTTATGGGTGGCCTGCAGTGTCATTGCAGAGCCCGGACCCCGAATGCCGAGCCGGAAGGTGAGAAGCAGCCGCATGACGCAATGCAGGTAAAAGCCCTGAGCAGCAGGCCGAGGGTGCATGTCGTTCTTGGCACGGACCTGGACGCAGCCGGTAAGGAGAGCAGCGTGTTTCATCGCGGGGTACACCCTAGTCACACGAGACTGAAGCCAGACATAGAAAGCGCGACGAAGAAAAACGGCAAGCCAGCAAACACAAGCACCAAAAAGGGGACCTAATGTAGAACAACCCCCACATCTGCTGCAACTAACTATTTCAGTAGTCGGCCATGCTTGCCACACAATGCAGGACTCGTTCGACATCAAGGTTACTTCAGAAGAGGCAAGCTCGGGGAATACTCGAAGGACACATGGAAGAGCAAACACGAGGCTTCCCTCCTCGTTGATGAGCATGTTGTTGTAGTCCTTAATGTTCGCTCTGTGCTCGCCTCAGCTAGTGACTTGGGCAGCCAAACTTTGGCGAATGTCGACGCCTCCGCAGCTGCCCATGCAACCCAGTGCAGTTTCATGATCCAAGCAGAAGCTCGATTTGCCAAGTGGCGGCTGGCATTCTTCTTCGTGTCCAGATAGACAGGCCTCAACGAACTCAAGCGAAACATAAGGTAACCATCCCGGTCTTCTTTCATGTGCTGCACCTTTCTTAGACAACATGGGCTCTGCGCTCCTCAACCCATTAACCCAGAACATCCTAGAACCCTAAGCCCAAAAGCGCCAAGCCAAAGAGGCCTCGTGAAGCCTCTACCGAGCTTGCCTAACTCCCGCACAAGAAGTGTGCGGGAGTGCTGCTACCACACCGACCTTGCATTTGGCTTCCAGGGGGGCATCAGGAGCCTGAGCCCATTAATTCAAACCTCGCTCAATACAAGAACCCATATACGCCCCCCCCCCCCCCCCCCCCCCTCATTCCCATAGGCCCTGTCAGGGACCCGAGCGCAGGGTTCTCCACCAAGTCGAAGTCCAGGGCAATGCCCTTGCGCTTGGGAGCCACGGCCTGGAAAGGGCTCTCAGGCGAGTCGTGGGGATGTTTGGGCGAGGGTTGCTGGGAATTATCGCGGGCTTGGAGAGGGTTCTGATGGTTTTCTGCTAAAGTGTCTGCGGCAGGCCTTTGAACCAGGGTCCCCTTTGTAGGGGTATTGAATTCAATAGAAGCCCTTATAAATGGACCCACTTGAAATTGGAGCAAGCTCCAAGCAGATGCCAGCTGAAGATGGGGAAGTGCTCCTTTGACCCTGGGACCCTCAACAGAAAAGCATTGGTAAGGATGCATGCGAAATTGACCTGGCCTGTTTACATGATATATATATATATATGTATATGCACGTACATCTATATATATATATATATATATAGACAGAGAGGCACATACATATATATATATATATATGCCTCTCACAATATGTAAACTACCAACACGGGGGCAAACAACCCTTGCCTGCGGCATCGGAGGACTTTGGCTGCCGAATGGAGTCAATCGGTGGTGCAGAAAGGCAAGTCAAGGGCTGGCAGGTTTACTCGGGGAACAGGTTGCGCTTGTCTGTGCTGCCATCGAGGCGCGGCGGGAAGCGTGGAGTAGAACATGCATGGATAAGAGCTTGTATCTGGTGAGCCCAGCGCATGCACGTTCCCCATGGTAATTACGTGACAAGCAGAATTCTCAAGGATGCTCTCAGTCTCGGGTGCTGGTGGCTTTTTTGTCCTGATGCTGCCTCATGCATTCCGAGACATCTGGGCACCAGGCAAACGCAGCAATTGTCCAGAACCATGCTCAGACTTCAAAGAGTGGCTGGATGTCTGGCTCATCCTGCGAATCTGCGTCGCACGCAGCGACGTTCTTGTCAAAGGCCTCCGACAAGTGCTGCATCCTGTGAAGAAACCTCTTGAAGGGTTCTCAGAGGCAACCCCTGGATAGTCCAGGTGTGCCGATTCCACTCCAGGCTGTTGGGAATCGGAGGATTCTAACCATGCAGAAACATCCTGAACCCCCGGTGTGTTGCATTCGCCTTGTGGTCAAGTAAGTCAAACCGATCTCCTTCTCGGAAACCCTCCACTGCCCAGCCAACCCCGACACAGCCTAGAGCCTAGAGGTCTAGAGGGATGCCTCCTCTACTGGCGTGGAGAGAGGCCCACAAGGACAGATTCGAGTCAATGTTCTAGTCTCGATTGAGAGGTGGGCCTCTCATCCACCCCCTGATGCTGGAACTGCTTTCAGCAGCGTCGCGGTGCGAAGTAGACACTGCGGCAGGTGAGCGTCGGCTATCACCAGCACACGTCGCCTGCCTCTCCAAGCCCTAACCACCAAACTCCAAACCGCATTGTGTTTGGTCCTCTCCTTTGCGCCCAAGAAGGCGCTGAGGCTCAGGGGCTCGCCACAGCTTCAATTGTCGAGGCAACGGAGACCGGCGAGGCTGCAACTGCCTTGGGCTGCGTGTGCGGCTACCGTCCCAGTTTCGGGGCGGGTGTTCAAGCGGATAGTGTTCAACGCTTTTTGAAAAGGATAGGGATGGCTAAGTTGAGGCTTGTGTACGGGTAGATTTGTTTTTCTTATATTGCTATTGCTACGATATTTGCTTCTTCAGCTCATCTCCTTTGGGGGGCTCTGATACCAGAGGAATTAGGGCCTAAGGGCTTTAGATACAAAAATTTAAGTCTGCAGGACTTTGAATGTCTAAGTAAGGCGCTCCTTGCTGCGACTTCTGAATGACGTCGGGTCTGTGAAAGAAAAGAAAATTCAGAGGAACTGACCATGTAAGCCTTGGAACTACAGCTCCGTCTTCTGATGTGCAAGCTTGGTTAGGACAAGAAGCCGCGTTACAGGATGCATTTATAGACTTGAGCTTTGGTGTAGCTGGGTCGTGCTTTCAACCGTTTTAAACATGATAGATGCCTAGGTCCCTTGTGAAAGCAGTCCGCAAGAGCTCAGCAAGAGTAGCTAGGGTGGGATCGGAAAGGAGACTGCAACCAGCAGCTTCCTCCTCTGCGATTTCACGTGCGACGTGGCCCTCCCAACGTCCCTTTTTTGGGAAGCCGAAGTCTTTTACTCCCCAAACTCGGCTCAAGGCTGAACCTCCCGGGGTGGCTGCCGGAGTAGTTACCTCCTGCGGGGTACGGTCGCTTCGGCGCCGGGAGTGCAGGGGAGGAGGGCTTCGGCTTACTTGCAAAGTTGAACGGGAGCATTGTGACTGTCTCCGTGCTTCAGGTCTTTAAAGTGAATTAATACATGTGTGTATGTGTGATATTATGATACCTGACCCAGTGCCTGCTCGTGATATCGGACCGCACCCCTTAGTTGCCCGGGAATGGTCCGCGAATCATGCAATCCCACCACCCCCAGTCCACAACGAAACGGTGGCCCAACAGCTTGTCGGCATAGGGCCGCCGGGTGTGGTCCCGGTTCAGGGTCCGCCTCGGGCGAAGCGCAGCGGTGGAGAAAATGGACCCCAAAGGTTTAAGAATTTAAGAAGTCTTGGCAGGTGCCTCTCTTGCTCATCCTACTACGAAAGGGCTGCTGGTCACCCTAGTCATATTCGAGGCAGCTCTGGCGTTTTTGAGGTCTCCAAGGATGCCACTCGACTGGGAGGGAAGCAGTTGTTGGCACATGGGCCCCGAACCCTCAAGCATCCCCATAAACTTCAAAAACCCAGCACCCCCCCCCCCCCCCCCCCCCCGGCCCAAGACTCAAAACCCAGCTCACATACGCAACCCAGGCATCGGACTCCAGGAAGCTGCGGCAGTCCGGATGGATCTTGTCCGGAAGCGGCGGGATCTCGCAAACGCCGCGCCATGATGGTTACGCAGTGACGTGGTGGTATCTGTGCAGTGCCCGATCGGAACCCTATTCTCGGACTTCCCTTTCTTCCACTGCAACGAAGGAAAAATATATGAGACGAACTGACAGATTAACTTAATTCCGCCCTCTTTAGCAGGGGCTATATCCGTGCAGATTTTTTGATGGTGTCAGGTGAGGTACGCTGTAAAGACCTTTTTTTTCGGGCAGTCAGAAGAATCAGAAGAATAAGAAGAATAAACAACTCTTTGCCTAATGGCTACGGCGTTTGAAGAGGCATGGAGATCAGATCGAACAGGCCGACCTCGTCGCTGTCCACGATGTGCCGCAGCATCTCCGTGACTGGTAGATGGCGCTCCCTAAGTGAGCATCTAAGCCACAGTTCCTATTTATGGGTACCCTACACTTTAGGCTCCATATGGGGACCCGGTTTGGCTCCTGAGTACGCTTGCATACGATGCAGGTTCGAGGGCTTCCCGTTTCAAGTGCTTGTTCGGTCTCTAGGATATGTGCGGCGGCGGCAAAGGGTTCGAGCCCCCGCCCCCCCCCCCTCGCGTGAGCTTCCGCCAACTGCACAGTCTCCGTTCCTGTTCCTTGCTTTTATGGCACCGATGTGCCCAACCTGCAAGCCAGTCAGTCGTTCGAGCAACTTCGAGGAGAGCCCGATTCTACAGAGAAGCTTCCCAACTTTGAAGGTTCCAGAGAAACATGGGTACTTCCCAAGATAGGGGTACCCCTTTTATAGCCCAAATAGAATGGAGTCACCCTAAACCCTAAAGGCCCTAAAGGCCCTAAAGGCCCTAAAGGCCCTAAACCCTAAACCCTAAACCCTAAACCCTAAACCCTAAACCCTAAACCCTAAACCCTAAACCCTCAAGAAGGGTACCCGTGTTTTCGGAAATCCTCACGTCTCTTGAACAGCTAAGGTCGCGGCCGAAGGTTCGGCCATGGTGCCTCCAGTTGGGTCCCCTACAGACTTGAAACAAAGGTTAGGGTTTAGGTTTAGGGTTTTAGGGTTTTAGGGTTTAGGGTTTTAGGGTTTTAGGGTGTTAGGGCTTTAGGGTTTTAGGGTTTTAGGGTGTTAGGGCTTTAGGGTCCCAAAGCACGCCTCAGCTGTGATCATCTCGATCACGGTACAGCCTAAGCTCCAAATATCCTCAGCACGGAGTCAGGCTTTCAGGGTTGTTAGGGGTTCTGGGGGTTTGGGGGTTTGAGGGTTTGGGGTTTAGGGTTCAGAAGCTTCCTCATGAGCTCTCTCCCTCGTTGAAGCAAGTGCTGGCTTTTGAGGCATCGTCGTCACGGCAGTTACTTAGACGAGTCCCCTCCTCTCCCAGTATTGACTTCTGGATGTGAATAACATGCCCTCCCCCCCATGTGAAACGCACATCTGAAGCCGGAAAGGCCTTCAGCTTTAGGTTCAACAGTTCCCCAAACAAGGGTGAACCCTAGACCCTGAACCCTAAACCCCAAACCCTTACCCCTAATCCCAAAACACTCAGAGCTGGCCGGAGGGGCCGATCTTCGACCAGCGCGATACTTCATCACCTGACGCCCATTCGGAGAATGAATTTGCGAGTGCTAAGAGCCTTTTAGCAAACTGGGGGAATGCCCCCCATGTTCTCATATGCCATCCTAGGAGTGGTCGCAGGATTCGTGAACATGAGGCGCCCAATAGAACTGTTGAAATGCTCTAAGGGGCCCCGTTCCCCGTACTTGGCAGGCTCCGATGTCCTAGAGGACAGAAGTTTCGGGGTTCAGTGTGCCTTCCGCCTTTGAAAAGCTGTTTGGGACCCCAAGCCCGCCCTTTACAAATGCAAATTCCCAGTTTCATAGAGCTCTAACATCTATCATATAGGGGCCTTCATAATTAGAATAGGGTTTTGGGGGTAGATTGATACAGGGATCATGATGGAATGTTACTTGGAAGTTTTCCGACCCCTAGTTTGATTTACCCTAAACTGGAAACTTCAGGAGGCCTCGGGCGCCATCCAGAAAACGCTTCCGTGGATGGAATTGATACCCGAAGTGATGCAGGTGCCGTGGAGGGTGTGCAAAGCCTGCAAAGTTGGGCGCAGTAGTTGGGACTAGTTGTGAGAGTTCTGCCTCAAAAGGGCTTAGGGCTTTAGGGTCTCTAGGGTGCCGCTTGCAGGGCACCGCTTTTCAGAACGCAAGCTTCTCGGCGGCGTCTTCTGGGCTTCTGTAGAGCTTCGGGAGCCCAGAACTGACTGGAGGACTGTGACATGTCTACGGCTTTGGCCGCTTAATACCATTGTTTGGGCGGTAGATCTTCTGGAGCAGCTTCGTCACAGCTCACTCAGTGTGTCTTGCTGATTTGAACAAATGGGTCTCGTCAACTACATCTACACTGAAGGGCGCAAAACTGATTCCCCTTGTGGCATCGAAACCCTGAAGGCGGATTCGTCCTCCAACTTCGTGCCCTGAACTCAAAGCCTGAATACTCAAGCTCATCTCTGCACGAATCCGGCAAATCACAGGTTATGCCTCGAGGTTCTGGGAGGCGCCAAAATCGGCCAACTTGGCATCTCCATGGGCGTCAATGAGGATATTCGCGCCTGGGTTTCGGGCTTCGAGAACTTCTCGCTGTCGGGTGGATATTTAGGGCATGGGGCCTGAGAGAGGTTGCAGAGATTGGGTCTTTGCGGGGTTGCTGATGCAGTGCTTTCGGCATCTTTGGGCCCCATGACCCGGGTTTAGGCGCAGACGAATTGTCCCTGGTACCATCCGGCCAAGAGCCCGGGTTCCCTTCAAGTCTTGACAAGCGCCACGGCCAAGGACCCTCGCGGCCTTCCGATGAGAGTCCAGGCACCTAAACCCCAAACATCTTGAAACTAAGCCAGCCACCCTTCACATCCCGATGGACTATCTTCTCCGTATGGAGAAAGTCCAGGCCTTCCAGGATTTGCCTGCACCAGGAGGCTGCCTTTCGGTTTAGGGTCCAGGCCTTCGAGTGCCTAACGCAGCTCTCTTCCGGTGAGCGCTGAGGTTGCGCAGGGTTTAGGGTTTAGGGTCTAGGGTTTAGGGTTTAAGGGTTAGGATGCATTTCTAGTTTAGAAGCAGACACAGCAGCTTTGTTGCCCCAAACAACCCGAGCAGCTCGGCCTCGTGTACTTCTTCACGAGGCGGATGCCATAAGGTCCGAACTTCTGAAGCACCTGCTATAGGTACTTTGCATGACAAACATTCCCTCCCGATGCTGCAACAACTCAAGGAAAAGCTAAACTCTTGATTGCATCTACTACTGAATCTAACGAGGATGTATTGCTAAGTCCCCTTCGCATGTCGCATCAGGAGTGACGCTTAACCCTGAATACCTTTTCAGCCACAAACCCACCCCATCAACCCATCGCCATTTCGGAACCGAGATGTCGTCCTCCTGAGCTGAAAATGGCCAAAGTGGCTCCCTTGATGGAACCGCTGGGCATGTACTCCAGGAAGATGAGCAGGGCGGGGTCCTCCTTCCAAGAGGGGTATACAGAGGGGCCCCTTTTTTATTCCCATACTAAGGGACCAGGAAACTACTCTAAGACATTTCATGCCACAGCTTGAAAGGCCAGGAGTGCTCGGGCCTCACTGTCTTGCCTGATGCAGCCCTGATAGCGGACAATCCTGCACAGGGGGATCACGCTCTGGCAAGGACGAGCTGCAGAACCTTGAAACTTGCTGGTTCTTTGTAAGGAATGAGGGAAATAGGTTACCCCAAAAAATCCCCTAAAGGCTACATATAGGAGGATACAAGGCACCTAATTCCCTCATTCGCTACGAAGAGCCAGGGAAGAAAAGTGGTGGCCGTGTCCTCTTGTGCTTGAGGCGCTTCAGCGTGTTGATCTCTTGCAGGAGGCCGTTGATCTCCTAGAAGCTTTTAGGATGCTTTAGGGTTTAGGGTTTAGGGCCAGGGTTTAGGGTTTAGGGTTCAGGGTTTAGGGCTTGAGCCTGCAACTCCTGAACCCAAGCCGGCCACAGCGAGGCAGAGGCAATTCCTGGACTCCCTTGACTCAAAAAGCTAAGTGGCTAAGTTGTTTTTCCTCAAAGTCCCTGGACCCTGAAACCCATCACCAAAGAAATGCGAAACCTAAAAACCCGAACCTCTCATTCTGCAGCTTGCGGGCATCCACCGTCAACCCCCTCGACCCTGCATTCTGGTCAGGGCTTCGGGTTGAAGCATTGATGAAGTACAGCATTCAAAACGTTTAGGGCTTGGAGTTGTCTGCGGACGCTCAGGGCCCCTGCTATGTCTTGAAAACAAATGATGTCGGAGCTGGGTCACTGGAGCAATGCTGGACAATTCTGGATGCATCCTGTCCTTCTCTACCGCATGCTGTCCGAGAGAGACGTCCAAGAAGGGGATCTGCCAGCATCTTCGATTCTAAGTATGGACCACGGATGTGCGATCGATTCCGACAGCTCAGTGCAGCACTGAAATGTTGGACGCCTTTCCGATCAGGACTCGAAACAGGGGACATCCGCCAGCCTTCTTGACCGCCATGAACTTGCCAGCAACCATGGCTTTGAACCTCGGCGCACAGCTATGACACATGGAGCTGAACCACCCAGACCATGCTGCTCTGCGAAGTTCTGCAGCTCTCTGCGAGGCTGAGGGCAGTGCACTTCTCCATAGGCGCCCTTGCCGAGCGATTCGCCCTGACACAGCTCGAGTTGCGACTGATCAGGCTTGGGATTATCGAGCTTCAGAAGCTACGAGGCGCCCAGGCCCTAGCTCAGTCCTCACAGAGCTCTGTATGCCTAGACAGATGGACGTGGTCGTGCGAGGGTTAATGCTGTGAATGCCAGCCAGGCAAATGGCCTGCTTGAAAGCCCGTAACCGGGAATCCTGGCCGCGCACAGGAAACTGCTGGTTGGTTGTCGCTTATACTCGCTTCAGCACAGCGATGTACCTACCCCGAGCCACTGTTCGGCTCCAAGCAGAGACTGCTGGTAGGATTATGGACTACGACAGCAGACATGCGGACCGGGCAGCACCGAACAGTTCCCTCTGTGGCTAGTGGCGGTTTCAGGGAAGTCCAGAATTTGGTGCCTATTTCGTTCCGGGCCATCGGCGAAGCTCACCAGCTGCCACTTCTGCAAAAAACCGAAACCGCGATTGAAGGAGTGCTCAAGTCCCAAACATAGCCGGAGACAGAAGATGCAGAGATTCCCCGCTCCCCCTAGCAGGTGGATCAGCTCCTCCTCCACATCCAGGCGCTCGTAGATGGGCGAGGCCTCGAGTTGAGAAACAACTTTGGAGTAGCAGGGCTTAAAAGCCCGTATTCGTTTGTGAATGTAAAGCAGTGGATACTTCTGTAGAAAAGCCCTCAACTTCGCTAGCAAGCCTCGGACAACCATAGACGGCACGCGCTCGAAACTCAATGCAGTACCGCTAAGGCAGAGGCACGCCCCGAACTAAGGCTGTCCCGGTGAGGGGATGGGCTCAAGGACCTCAGCTTGTGATGTCGCACTGTTCACCCGGTCCGCTTACTCTGTGTTTGTGTTCTTCGTACTCTGGGTGACAAGTGAACATGTCAATCCCAGCCCAACATCTAAGAACCCGATCTGAGCAGCAAGCGCGCTGCCATTTTCGGCCGCCCCACCCTTTGCAGTCAGGATTGCAGGTGACACATCAAACAGCCTATACTGAAATAACGAAGAGAAAGCGTTGAGTGTCAGGTGACTGGAAAGAATCTGAATCTGCTTTGGGTCAGCCTACGTGAGCAACAACCTTTGCCTTATGAGGCGAGGGTGACTCGACCCCAATGGAGCCTTGGCCACTCCTGGAAGAGTTGGCGGCAGTGGTACGTCGACCTGCGCCGCACAATCTGACCCATGCGCCAGGCACATGCCAGAGCAGAAGCCGCTGCAAAGAACCCCTTTGGTGAAGAAACTTCCTTAGTCTGTAGAACGTGAAGAAATTCTTCCACGACGTCTGGACCTCATCCGCTGCGGGCACAAACTCGGCCATTGCGCCGTGAAGCACCCGATGGGTTTTTGGGGGATCCAAAACAGGATGTGTCAGACCTGAGTGGGTGCCGCTTCCTACGACCGTCAATGTGTCTATGATATTGGCAGACCCTGCTGTTGGATAGAAGTTGTCGGGTGCTTGTGCGAACTGCAGTGGTTGTGAAGTGCTGGCAGCTGTGCCAAGAGCTGGGAAATCTAGTGGCACTTGGTATGTCACGCGTTGTGGCTGCGGCAGTGAAGCGCCGATGAAAAGCCGTCAGATCGGCTCTAAACTGCAAGCTGCCAGAATGTTCTGTCTGCGCTAAGTTCACTTTGATTCGCTAGGACTCTTCTTTTGCGCCTTGCAGATGTGCCAAGTCTGTGGTGCACTTTGGGATTTTGGGTGAGGGGTCAGGGCAGCTGGGGCCATGCTGCAGAAACATTGCGGCACCTTCATCCCACAGTCTCCAAAAGTAGGCCGAATCCGAAGCCCATTTAAAAACCCGCGCCCTACCTGGACCTAAAACCCTAGTAAGACTCACGCCGCGCGCCACATGCCACACCAGATGAGGCATCCGGGTCGAGAAGCTCCTGGGCTCCCTCTTGGATTGGCACACTCTCTGTGCCTTTGCCAAGGAGGCCACCAGCGCAGGCCTTTCCGGTGTGTGTGGCAACGATGTGCCGACTGCAGGGAGCTGATCTTCATGCGGGGCAGGGCAATCCGTGCACTAGCTCGATCGGAGCATTCGTGCACCTCTGCCAGAAGTGCTGGGTGGAAGACGGCATTGAGCCCGCCAATGACCGAGTCAGAAGGCCACTCTCTCCGCCATCCATTCAAGCTCACGATCTGCTTGGTTGGTAGGCTTACTTTTTCGGGGGCAGGGCATACTAAATGGGTTCCTAAATCCTGGTATGTTTAAACTGCACCGGAGCCAGCATTAACAGATGCAACTTCCCGGCTCCCCCTAAGTCCCTAAGGCTCTGAATCCTTTCTTACTAGAACGGGAGGCGCTTACAAAATCGGTATTTGGCAGGTGTTCGTTTCTTACACAACCTTGCGGACCTTACGCGCTTCCTAACCTCCCACTTGGCCCGCTCCGGACACCAAGCGTCAGGGTCTAAATGGTGCGGGAGCGATGCTCAAGCAGACTGGTAAGCAAGACCTGGTCCCTGGCCTAGTCCGAGGCAAGGAAGCGTCATGCCTGTAAGCTGGTTAGGTGAATGCAGGGGCTACGGCTACTGCCAATCGGCGTTCAGTGTACCACTTAGTGCCATGCTCTTGGAGTTAAAGCTTCCTTGCCTGCCGGGTCAAAGAAGACGATGCGCACGTCTTCGATTGCGTGAGTGCCCCGGAGACAGCTGGAGCCACCGGAGGGCCCCCTCTCACTGGTCAGCCTTCAAGAGCATGGCCGCACCTTGCAGGTGGATGTCCTGAGACTCTTGCCGGCATGCAGCAGCTACAGTCATATCGGCGAACTTCGTGAACCCCAGCAAAAAAAGAGTCCCTCAGACGCACAGCACTCGCACAATTGCAAGCACCTAGAGGGTGCCCCGAAGATCTCTCGACACCCTCCTTAACTGGCCCTCTAACCCGCTTCGACGACCCCGTCGCGTCCTGATTGTCCTGAGTCATCTCATACTCGGGGGGGGAGGCGCTTCAGCACGAACAGGCCACCACGTCCACCTGGCACTCATCAGTCAGAATCGGATGCACCAGGCATTCTTACAGAACCCGAACCTCAACATCTAGCTTTTGGTATAAAACCCAAAGACCTGAGCCGAACCCTAAGACTTCTTAAGCCATTTCCCCGCTGAAAGAGCCAACTCCAAAAGCCGCCTGCGCACTTGAAGTCCTCGAGCCCTGGCCCTAAACCCTACGACACCCCCCCCTCCCCCGCAAAAAAAAACAAAAGAAGAGAAACAACCAAAGAATGAAACCCTGTGTTTTCTCTTGCTGTTGCTGCTTTTCTTGCTAGCTGTGATTATCATCGATAACCATGATGACTGCCATTCAAAACCGCAACAGCATGGGCCACTTCCGGTTGTTCCAGTCTTGCCCGCCGAAGCACTAAAATCACTAAAACCCTGAGGCCATTTAAAACCCTACTTCAGATCCTGAGGCCCGTTGAAGCCCTCTGTATCCTTGGCTTTTACACCCACCTTTGCATCCTAAACCCTTTCAACCTAAACCCGATTATAAATCCTAAACCCTAAACTTGCCCTAAACCCCAAACCCCAAACCCGAAACCCCAAACCCTAAAGCCTACGCCCTAAGCCCTAAACCCGTTTCTGCAGCCCCGCCCTTTATCCCCTAAAGCCACAGGGCCGCCCACCCCTGGAGATGCGCAGGCCCGCGTCACAGAAAGTGGTCCGAAGCCGTCCTTCTGGCCTGACTTGTCGAGCTTAAGGGCCTACTGAGGAGTTGGGGCCTACTTGAAACTTCATGGTACTTATTAACCAATTATACCTGTACTTAGAACTGCACTTAGGACCATATTGGGCCACTTAAGGGGCTTATAAGTGGGCGAGAAGTACAGTTCTAGTTGGTTCATAAGTACTATGAACCTCCAAGTAGGGATGTTTCAGGTTTCGGGTCAGGGGATTTTGGGGGTCTTGGAGATGCTTTTCGCACGGGCCGGGGCCACTTTCAGCTTACTCCAACACGCGTGTCCTGAAGTGGTCTTTAATTAAGCTAGCCTCTACAAGTATCAGTCTACCTCCTATCCCAACACTACAAACAGGCATGTCGTGAAATGATCTCCCGCGAACGGCATCCACGACTGCCAAAGCATCCACCATCATGGTGTCAGCTGTTGTTTCGACCGACACTCCGCAATCGGAGTTACAAAGTCATTCTGGTCACGCACATGCTGTCGTACGGTGGCAATACCATGAGATGTGTCTTGGGAGGTTTGGGATTTCCTATGTGGTGGAATGTCGAAGTTAAGAATGTAGTGGCGCGGTTTGAAAAAGGAAACGGCCTGTACCAACTGGCCTCAGCCAAGGGGGGAGAACATCTTGCTAAATGGAGCCTAAGATCCTTAAACCCTAAACCCTAGCCCTAAGCCCTAAACCAAAAGCTGCGCCTGGGCAATGGGAGCTCGATGTCCGGCAAGTTCGGCAGGCTAACAGAGAAACCTCGCAGTGCCATTCGCAGGAGGAAGCAGGGGACAGATCTCATCGCCAAAAGCCTTGCAAAGCCCGCGAAGCCCAAAGTAAACACCCTGAATCATGAAGTGTTTCCCTAAACCCTAAACCCTAAATCCTAAACCCTAAACCCTGAAGGTTCGTGGGCTAGGCAGCCCTCCAGGTCGGCCTGGGGTTCAATTGAAACCCTTGCCCCCCAAAGCTTTGGATCTTCACCGCCCCAACCTTTCAACCACCCCGAAGCCGAAAGCCTAAAGCTTTCCCAAGGTCTGTTCTGAGAGCTGGGCTGGTAAAGATCACTCCAAGATCTAACGCATCGCTCCCCTTCAGGTCGCCCTGGTTGCAGACAGGTGGGGGGGAGCTCGAGCCAGGTCATCACATGCTTGTGCAGCCTGGCCTTCACGCGCAAATCCAACTTGGGGCCGCTGGAGCCTCCTACTTCACAAGGCAAGACATGCCCAAATCCGCAGCTGTGAATGGGACTGGAGCCCTTCTCCATCCGATGGAAAGAATCGTTCATATGAATACTAGACAAGGCAAAATGCTTTTCCTCTTTGTTGAGTAGTCGTTGCCAGAAGCATGACCAGATGGGCACATTGGTGCTATGAAGGCCGGCGATTCCGAGTGATGCTTCACAGTGCAGTTCTCAGTGGTCTTAGTGCCCTCACGACCAGCCCGTTTGAAGATGTTCTACTAGTGCTGCCCTCACCACGAGCACGAGGAGCTTGGGTCAGTACAAGATAGAGTGACAAGGCTCAAGCTATTCATCGCTTCTTCGGCTACTCAGGGTTTAGGGTTCTGGAGATGTATTTAGAGTCTGCACGTATTGGGTTCTTAGGGCTCTCAGGGTTCTTAGGGCTCTTAGGGTTCTTAGGGCTCTTAGGGTTCTTCGGGGCCTATAGGGGACCCTGTACACCCCCCCGCCCCCCCCCCGTCCGACGCGGATTGCGACACGGTTGTCCACACGCTTGGCATCGAAGTCCTGAGTTGCCGCTGCTCTCTGCCAACTGCAGAGCACACGCCGGTCTGGGTTTGGGGTTTGGGGTTTGGGGTTTGGGGTTTGGGGTTTGGGGTTTGGGGTTTGGGGTTTGGGGTTTGGGGTTTGGGGTTTGGGGTTTGGGGTTTGGGGATGTTTAGGGTTTAGGGTTTAGGGTATAACTGACAAAAGCTGGCAGAACATGAGGAGTGAACATACTATTTGGGCGAGACGGTGATTCAACCTCCCTTGTCTGTCGTCATGGAGGGCCTGCTCTGACACAGCATGGGGGGACATACGAGGGAGGGATTTCTAACTGGAGTCCCTTCGCGAATACTTTAGTAGTCTGGTCTGTAACATTGAGCGTAACACCCAAACAATGCATGCGTGACACATGGTCGTGAAGATCGTTGTGGAAACAACTCGCATAGTTGATTAGACTAGCGCGAAGACTTTCGGCAAGTGTACTCGAGAGTTTGTGAGGCCTTTAGTTCTCTGCCAAGGAGCCACGAGCTGCTCGTTGCCCACTGACAAGCTAGGGAAGATGGGTCCAGCGAACTCGATCTGCGAAGTTCACGCTCGGACATTGTGGAATGAAGAACTGGACAATCGTGGGAGATTCACCCTACCGATCTCTGCCGTTCTATCCCCTCCCCGTCAGAAGCCTTCCCGAAGCTTCAAGCAATTCCTCAAGCACGAGGCAGAAATGCCTTCGAGCTCCCCTGCGCTCCGGCCAGAAAGGGCGCGAAGCGAAAAAACACCTCACAAGGCTTCATTGCTGCTGTGAAAGCCTGGAAGGGCTCTGAGACGTCCAAAAGCTTCACGAAGCACTCTAAATCATGTGGATGAAAGCCGATGAAGCAGCTGATGTCGGCATGCAGACTTCTGACAACCGTAAGGTTAACCCTAAACCCTAAACCCTAAACCCTAAACCCTAAACCCTAAACCCTAAGCCCAACAGCAAAGTGCAACTTCAAGGCGCTCGATACAAAGCTGCCGTGATGGCGGAGAAGGGCGTCTCCTCTTCTCAGGGGGCTGAGGCTTCGCAGGCCCTGTCCTTCGATCCATGATTTTTTCGAAGAACGACGTTCTGAACATCTAAATACTACAATAGATAGTCGTTGCACTATAACATATTATAACATATACATACTTATCATGAGCATAAAAACAGCCCGAAAACTCTGAAGCAGAACAACTGGACATCCTTTGAGTTCCCCTCCTCCCCTCCCGCCGCTATCCTCCTGGGTTTCGCTGGGTTCCGTCTGGGCGGAGAAGACCAACGCCCACCGGCCAGGCACCTTTAAGTGTTTGGCGTTAAGGATTTCTGTTGCGGCGGGGGTGGGGGGGCGGGGACCTCCCGGGTGTGGGGGGGAGAGGCGGGGGGGGGGGGGGGAGATGGGGGGTGGGTTTGGGGAGCCGAAGGGTCTTCAGCGTTTCGGTGTTCAGAGTATGGGGTTTTAGGGTGTAGGGCGCCGTTAGAGGTTTTCAGGGCAAGATTGCGCATCAACAATGTGCTCAACGAAGTACCCTTAACCCCGCACACAAACCCACAACAGTCTCCCAGCTCATGCTTGAGCCCCGAAGCTTGACCCCTGTCGATGCCCCCCCCAAAAGCTCTAAGAACCCCAGGAGCCCTAAGAACCCAGAAGCTTGAAGAAATCCGAACCCAGAAAACAACGATATCCAAAAACTCAAAACCTGGTCAACCCTGAAGCCCCGCACTCCACAAGAACCCCTAACCACCCCCTGAGGGACAAACAACCCCATATACTCAAGATCCTAAGCCCTAATCTCCAAAAACTTTACCTGGGACTCTCTCCTACAGTTTTATGGGTCATACCTACTAATTCAAGATATGTCAATCCTGCTAAACTGTAGGTTAATAGGGTCCCAGGTAATTTTCCGAAAAAGCCCCGAACCGCGGTGCCCAAAACACTCGGAGGCCGGCGCCTTTGCAGCGTCCTGGCAGCCCTCAGCCTCGAGAGCCGCCGCGCGCGCGAAGATCTCCTCCTGCCGCAATGCCCACCAGAAGGCCTCCCCCAAAACCCCGAAGCCCAAAACCCGAAAGTTCCCGGGCTTGGGGTTGACAAGGGTTCTAGGATGTTTTAGAGGTCAGGGTTTAGGGTTTAGGGTTTAGGCTCTAACAAGTAGCAAGGAATTGAGGAGCTCAAGCTCCCGAACCCGAAAAACCCTAAGGCCCAAAACTGAACCAGAACCTTGGATTGCTCAACACAAGCCATGCAATGCCATTCAGGCCTATGTGACTCGGGAGTTCGGGCTGCTGGCTTTGATATGGTAGATTGCTCCTTCCTGCTTTCCCAAGCTGGGGATGTGGGAGGCTGTGATGGAGAACTTGGCTAGGCAGTCCACTGATCGAGGAGGGTGAGTGAATCGGGTCATGATTGCACAACTTAGAGACTTTGATTGCCTGAATAGAGCCCGAGCAAAGATTCGTGGGGCATCCAAGTCCTGATCTTCAGTGGCCACCGCCTGCAGCAGCCCCTTCTTTAGGGCCTCCAGCTGCCCGCGCTTCTCCTGCCAAATGGAGGCTTCCCCTACAGCCATCAAGGCTGCCTTTCTTTCGAGCTGCATGAGGCATACAGTGGTGGATACATCGATCATCTAAGCCCTCTTTGACCCTTCTCCCCCAAGCCCCCACACCGTGCTCGACCCCACGTCTTTGGAGTTTTGTGCTTCAATGACCCATCAGGGAACGGGTCACTGATTGGAGCGTCTGAGTAACTCCTTTGACGTTTTAGGACTCCCGCACCGGCCATGTGCCATGTATACATACACAACCGGGGCGGTACCTCTGAAGTCTGAAGCCCCAGATCCAATTTTTTTCGATGGGCCCCTACACGAAAAACACACACCTACACACACCTACACCTACACACCTACACACACACACACACACACACACACACACACACACACACACACACACACACACACACACACACACACACACACACACACACACACACACACACACACACACACACACACACACACACACACACACACACACACACACACACACACACACACACACACACACACACACACACACACACACACACACACACACACACACACACACACACACACACACACACACACACACACACACACACACACGAAGACCCTGGAAGACACGGTCGCGGGACCTCGGGAGGCCTTTCCACAGGGCCTGAACAGCTGTCAACAACTGGAGTTGGAAAGCTGTCCAGGGGTTTAGGCTGTTAATTCAACGGGTTTGAGGTTTGGGGGGATCGTGCTCCTTAGGATTTGTAGGGCTTCGGAGGGCACAAGGCGATCTCAGTTGGTCAACGTTGATTCTTGGGACTGAAAGCGAAGGATCGAGCTAGGGCTCTCAAGGTTCATCAAATGGGCACTCTAGTTGTCGATGTCCGTTCTTAGACTCTGCGATCTGTTGAAACTGCAGAAAGATGAGTCAGCATAGTCGGGAAGTCCGACTAAGCTGATGCATCAATACGAAGCCTTCGAGCTCCCCCGACGGCAATCAGCCCTGCGTCCAACTGAAGGCCTGCTGGCCACGCGGCGAAGCTCCACTTGCCGGCCCAAAGGAGAAGGGCGACAAGGGCCCAGCGGATCCTGGCCGTCAAGGTTAAGGGGTTTTAGGGTTGGCGAAGTGCAAATGCCTGCACAAGGTCTGCAACGAACCCCGAACCCTGACAGGTACAGCTGGGGCAACCCATCATCGACTTGTACAGGCACTGACCGAGTGGAAGAAAGCATATCTGCCTGAAGCCCACTGCTAAAACCCCAAGACTCAAGACGAACAACATAGGAGGCCCCTCAACCTCCCACCCACACAACAAAGTGCGCAGACATGATGCGAGCACCACATCGAAATCCGACTCCCAATCCTCAAAATCACGCCTGCGCTTGCTGCGGTTGCGCTGCAAACTTCGTGGATGCTTGGCAGTGCTCGAAGGACGCTCTTAGACGCAAATGCCCAGTATAGTGTCTCCAGCCCGCAGGGGCGTCACTTTTCAGGCGATCCTGTCGCTTTACTGGGTTTTGGCACTTGCCGTCCCACCCTAAACCTCCCTTTTCGTCCTCACCCCAAACTGGGGAGGGGGGAGGGGGGGGGGGGGGGGGGGGGCCCTTTAAGCATCCGAGATTCTTGTGACATAGCTGCAAAGCGGCGGCCTGCAGGGGCGGCCATGCGCTGCCATGGCCAAGGGCTTTGAATAGGCAGCAGCCTATGCCATAGTATGCAAGCTTCTCACAAACCGACTGTGGAGTTTCTGTTGGTCGTCAGCTTGTGCTTTGCTCCGACGGGCTCGCAACAGCCCTTGCCTTGAGATGCCAAAGTGATCGAGGCTCGTTTGCGGCAGAGTCAGGTATGGTAGTGATTGTTTTTAGGCACCCTGACCCTGAGCATGTTCGTTGTCCGCATCCGTAGAAGACTCTGCAGACTGCAAGCCTGATCAGCGATGGTGCCGGAACTTCCGTATCCAGAATGCTTGACGTACTCTCGACACGGCTGAGTTCGCAAACTGCAATGGGTGTGCACAACACATCGAGTATGCTTCGTTTTTGGCAATGTGCTCACCGCGTGTTGGCCCGACGACGCTTTGCATCCTCTGCAGCCACCAGCTCCTGCATGAAGAGAAGGTCATGACGATTGTCATCAGGATGATTCTGGACTAGCACTTTGACGGGGTTTACACGAGGCATCAGCCGCAGCTTTGGCGAGTGCAAACAGGGCACCAACTCTAGAGCAAAAAGTCGCTTCTATGTACGGTTTGGAAGAATGGCCTGTCTTAAGGACCAACTCCTGTGGTAGTCTTGCCCACATAGTCTGTCAGCGTCACGAAGCGTGTAATGAGAACTAGTCATCGACAAGAAGGAGGTATGTCCAAAGTGGAAGGGGCACGACAACGAAAGTGAATTTCCAGGAGGCGCAGGCTGTGTAAGATGATCAGTGCTGGAGCCCGAGAAGGTATGGGCACAGTGAGCAAAGTTCATCCACATTTTGCACTTGCGGAATCAGGGTTTTTCGTTCAGGGTATATTCAAAGCCAGTTACGAGAGCCTGAGCACAACGCTGCAGAAGTCCAGCTAACATCGAAGACACGAAGCCCTGGATAGAACAAACGATGTTGCTGCGGCAGAGGCTTCAGGAGGATTGTGGTTTAGGGTTCAGGGATGTTCAGGGTCTAGGGTTTTGTGGAGTTTCGTTTTGTGTGCTGTGGCGTTTGGGACTGAAGCCTGAAGCCACACACCCAACAACATGAGATCGAAAGAGCCACTGTCCTCACGTCCACGCTTCCGTGCAATCTCTCGGTACTTGAGGGCCTGTCTGCGCAACGGCCCCAGGGGCAATGTGAACTTGAAACACAAGGGCCAAGTACAAGGAGGCCTACCGAGACCAGAGGTTCTGGGCACGGTATCACCTCAATTCTTCGACACCGAAAGCATCCAAGTCCATGGCATTGGCATCTTCTGGATCGATGTGCAACCTCAGATATCTCAGGAACACAGGCGATTTCCAGAGTTCCTGATGAACTTCTTATTTGCGTTCGGGATTCGTAGGGTTTGGGATTCCTGGCCCTCAACCCCGACTTGGGCCCCCGAGCGCAGCATCAAAGTCCCTGAGGGCCTCGGGACTGACAAAACTCTCAGCCGCACCCCGCACCCAAATCTTAAGTTTGGGATGCTCCCCCTTCTACTCACAGTCCTTTATTTAGGGATTGTAATAGGGGGGGGTACTATTCTCCCTATTATTGAGGGCTGTTAGAATGAGGGGGAACATCCCAATCTTAAGACCACAAGATCCTCAAAACCACAGTGGTACCAGGAATGCTGGAATTTCACCAGAGCCCAAGCCGTTACAGCCTTGAACGCCTGACAGCTTCAATCCCTGAAGACCTTGCCGGTTTCTTCGTGGGGAATCTGGGAAAACTCGGTACGCGCACCTGGTAATTCTTCACTTTATTACAAGTCAGGAATCGGCATGCCCAAGGAACCAAGCTGCCGAAGTCTGCCGAAAGCCCCTCCCTAAACCCTAAACCCTAAACCCTAAACCCTAAACCCTAAACCCTAAACCCTAAACCCTAAACCCTAAACCCTAAACCCTAAACCCTAAAACCTGAACCCTGAACCCTGAAAACCCTAAACCCGATAGAACCCGATAGAACCCTATAGAACCCTATAGAACCCTATAGAACCCCATAGAACCCTATAGAACCCTAAACTCAGAAATAAAGCTCCGCCGGCCTCCCGAGCCCGGCCCAGGTTCGTCAGCGCAGCCCCTCGCGCCACCAGCCCCTCCTCCGCCAAAGAGGATTGCCGTCTTGGGATGTTCCCCCACATACTAAGAGCCCTCTTCATAGGGGATTTACATTACGGGGTACTACATAATCCATATTAAGGACTGTTAGCATAAGAGTCCCCTTAAAAGGGGGATTAGAATAGGGTATCCTTAATTGTTTAATAGGGTTTAGGGTTCCACCATATACCAAGAGTCCCCTTAATAGGGGACTAGAATAGGGGGTCCATAGTAGGGCTTACAATGGGGGCTCCTTAATAGGGTTTAGGGTTCTCCCATATACAAAGAGTCCCCTTAAAGGGGATTAGAATAGAGGGGGGGGGGGGGTATTATCATCCGGTAGTACAAGGGGGAACATCCCAAGAGCTATGTGACAACCGGCTTTATAGACTGTTTTTAATGAAAAGATGTGCAGATGCTTTCAGCTGCTTCTCTTGTGGCTTCATTGTTGTCATGTACGGCATGCGGAACTTTGCAGGGCTCAATACTGCGAAATACAGGATGGCAATATTGGGTTTTTCGGAAGTTTGCAGCTGTGGGGGAGGAGGGGGGGGGTGTCGAGCGGACTGTAAATCAAACCATCTGCCGGTTTTCGAGAGAGGAGAGAGAAAGAGAGACAGAGCGAGAAGAAACGAACAACAGCAAAAAAGAAACTGTCAGGAAAGCATCGGCTGAGGAAACACATCAGAATAAAAAGCTCCTTGCGACGACCCTCTTCCCACTAGAACCAAGCCAAGCCTAACCCAAGCAATCTTTGAAGCGTCGATCAATCTTTGAAGCGTCGATACATAGAGGCTACCAATCAGTTTAAGCTGACATCTGATTTACAGGTCCGTGAGAGGCAGTTGGCCTTGTGCTGAGGACAGAGTTCCAGCGCAGCATCGTACCTGGCTCAGTGTTTGTTTGTTATTGTTTGTGTGTCTGTGTGTGTCGGAGCACTTGAGTGTTTGAGTGTGAGCGTGTGAGTGCGAGTGTGGGTGTGTGTGTAGCCAGCAGACCTTTTCTTGCGCATTCGGCCGAATGTTGTGACACGCTCAGAGTTCCCTGTGCATGCGCGAGGCAGGCTGAGCATGTCTGTACATGAGGCAGGTTGTCTGCTTCGGGAAGATGCATTCCATGCCAGCCTGGGTCCCGCACGCAGCAGGTGACGAACAAAGCACCCTTCTCTCTTCTGAAACGAGCTCCACGTCGGCACTACGCGAAGTGGTGCACTCCGACTTGCTTGAGGCGCAGCTTACGCCGGGTGCGCGTGACGCCTTTGGCTCGATGAACCCGAACCATAACAAACGAAGCTTGTAACCCCAAACCAATCACCTTCGACAACCCTAAACCCTAAACCCTAAACCCTAAACCCTAAACCCTAACCAGATCCCCAGGCGAAGGCCAGCCGAGCCGAAAATCAGAGCATCGGGTTTCCTGCCTGGCCGGCGGCTTGCAAAGTTCAGGGTTTTTCGGTTGAGGATTCAGGGATATTCAGGGTCTTCAGGATTCTTCAGGGTTTTAACGACTTTTCAGGCTCTTCGAGCTGGTTTCCGGTTCTAAATTCTCAAGCTTCTACATGTATTCAGAAAGGCCCAAGTATATAAGACAGCGTGCGCAAAGGCGACTGCTGCCTCTACCTTTCACTAGCCTTCAAAACCCTTCAACTCCATGGCTAGCGTGCGGCAGAAGCTAGCACCAGTTGAGGGCTTAGGGGTTTAGGGGTTACATCTGGCCTCGAAAAACATCTTGCCGCCCTTGGCCGCTGGAGACGACTCCTGACGAGCGATTGCTGTCTCACACGCATGACGAAATCGTAGCCCTAGATTCCAACAGCCCCAAGACCATCCAAGGCAACATGCAAATGTAAAACTTTCACTTGATCTCTTGGACATGATGACCCCTTCGTCTACAGCAAACATGTTAACTAGGAAGTCAGCCCTTGGCCCCGAAACCCATCAGAAGCCTGAAGCCTCAGCACAGAGTGCCAAAGACAGATAGCCCGCCTCCCCCACCCCCCCTCTGCCCCCGGCTCCGAGAGTGCGCCGGCGGCTACCAGCGCTGGCACGAGTGTCCCAGTCCAGAGCTTGTGCTGGACCTGGTTCATAAACCCTAAACGTTCCACAACCCTAAACCCTAAACCCTAAACCCGCTTAAGCTGCAGGAATAAGGTGGTAATGGGCTTAAGGTTCAGGGTTAAAGGGAAATGAGTTCTGGGCTGGTCGAGCAATGAGCTAATGGTGTGGAGGGTTGGGCTCCGCGTAGTTAGTTGGCTAGTGCTTCAAGGTCAATGCGTTCACGGTCGAACCGCTTCAGGATTTGGGTTGGCCGAGGGCAATGAACAAACCATCATGAGTCGCGCTGAGAGGATGAATAGACCAAAGACTGCGCACGATGGCGACAACGACAATGGTGTCAAGATGATGATGGTGCTTCTTCGGAAGGAAGGTGCAGGTTTTACCGGGTAGCACTACACATCGAAGGGCCTGGCGAAAGTGAAGTGGGGGCTCGCCAGGGGTGCGTCGTTACATTTCCGTGATCAACGGAACGCAACAGACTCCGCAGCAGCGGGGCCTGGCCTCATCTGCACTAGCCCCTCTTTGCGGGAGATGGCTCGAGTAAGTTCTCAAAGTTTAGACTTCAGAGCCCTAGCACCAACCCTCAACCGTGAAACGCCCTCGATTGTTCCGTGCACCTCGCTGAATCCACCTGCGCACTTGCCGCCGATGAAGATCCTCCACCGGTGCGATTCCCGTGACATAATGCTTGTTGGACTGATCTCGCTGCCCAGCTTACCTCCATACCCGAAAGCCGCGAACACTGTACCCTGAAGAAGCTGGCTATGACTACTACTATATCATTGTCATTGAAATCATACTATGTCATACTATATCTATGCAAGATGTACGTAACTTTCTTTTGCAACCCCAGCCAGACTGAGAAAAACATTTTGGTTGCAGCTCCTGGGCACGGACCCGGCGCCCGTGGTGACCTTGAAGTGGGCCTCCCCAAGATCGCTTGAAGCAAACTCTGTGAACCGCAGTGGGGCTTGTAAGGCCCCTTGAAATGTATCTAATGTATCTGAGCCCAATCCATGAACCGAGAGAGGGACAACATGAATGGCCTCTCCCTCACTCCTTCACGGGTGCAGCAAGTGCACCTCCCCACACCCACCCCCCTCCCTGTAACCCCAAAGAGGAAGCAATGCGTTTAAACCTGAACCCTGGCCTTAAACCCTAAACCCTATCTAGAGAACTGACCCAATAATCCGTTTCCGCAATGTTTAAGCCCCCCCCCCCTCCCCGCTTTGCATAAAAACCCCTCAAACATCCAAAGGGTTTCAGTATTACTAAGGGGGTTAGTTCGGTAGAGGTTTTAAAGGGGCGGCTGCGGGTTTTTGGGTCAGGTTCTTGATAATATTCGGTACGAATATTAGCGGGAACAGATTATCCCTTGCCAGTGCATGGCCCTGGGGATGCCATGGGAGATCTAAACCCTAAACCTTAACCCTAAAACCCTAAACGAGTACTGTGATTCTTAGTAATCGGGCTATTCATAGTGCATGAAACTTGCTGTTCATTCGAACATTATGACGATGAGTTTTCCTAGTGCTATTGGGAATTTAGCATTATGAACCAGATTAGTCTTCTCATGTATCGCTGCCACTACAGTATTACTACATCCTACAGTCTTTCTGCAGAACCTAGTCAAAGAGCTTCAAGCCAAAGACGAGCACTTGACGTGGCCAATTTGGTAGCCTCTTTCGTCGGTTCATCGCACCGGCGCAGTGACCGAATGCATGCGAGCTCATGCGTCTTTGGTCCAGTTTCTGTACACGCCTCGAAGGCGACCGGGCGGAGGAAACTCTTGAGTCACGGCATGACAGGCTTAGTTCTGGAAGTAGCATCGCCGCTCACATAGGATTCCGGAAGTACTCCCTCGCATTTCCTCGCAATCTCCGTATTCACTTGAAGGTCGGGCCTTCAGTGCCAGGAGAAGGGAACTGTAAAGTATTTGGAGGTGCAGCTATGGTCGACAATGTGCAGCTCCATGTGTGGAAGCATCTGCAAAAGCTTATTGCATGGCACGAATTCGGTCATCTACCTGGATGAGCACATGGTGCCAACAAAAGCTGCACGAAAGGTTCATGCTTTACAAAGTACAATGAATTAGAATGCCCCGCTGGCCTGATGTACAGGCAGAGCCCTTTTGCATCCGAGCTACTCTTCGACCGCTGTATGATGGGTACTGCTAACTTCAACCATTTCTTACATTTCTTACCCCCTGTCAGTGAAGGTAGCGGAGGGGAGTGGGATTTCTACAAGAAACCCAACTTTGCGATGCCGGCCAGCATGGTTGCCTTCATCGGCAGAAAACCACCGTCACCCTCAACAGTGTTTCCGATCGGTGCTTCTGGAGTCTCCAGATTGCACATTGAGTGTCGGTTGAGCTCATCACAAGCACTCGGAATCAGCACCCCTGATGACGGGCCAATCATGTGGTCACTTCGCTGTTGTATTGCTGTCCCTTTTAGGATTACTATCTTGAGCCGGCCCCTACTTTTTCGGGTGCCCCAAAAAGGACCATCATTTTGAGAACTGACCGTATTCAATCGTACCGGATTTCAGGTTGCTCAGCTTTTGCTGCCCTTGTTGGGCGCTGACTCCTTCACGACATGTTAGGATTGTGGTGATGAGCTTGATGCACCTCAGCATCTACCATGCCTGCCTTGCTTCGAGCATATATGGGGGTCTTGGACTGCTGGGCGCACCGAAGACCACCCCAAACTTTGTGGCCTTACCATCACTGCGTCTGTTCAACGCATGTGACGCCATGAGCCTAGGCCAAGAAGAAGGAGCAAGCTCCGCGTGGCCATTCAAGTGGGATCCTCCGTCCATGGTAACCTCCAGATTTCTGGCTGCGGGGTATGGTCCCCAACTCTCCTAATATACCGGCGATGAATGGGTGAATCCGAGCCAATGGGATCCCGGACGTGTCTTCCCAACGTGAGCAAGTCCCACTTTGAGCAAGTCAATGCAAGAAGCCGGTTCCTCATGCCGAGCAATCTCATCCGAGGGCTTGCCTAAATCTTGTGATGTGTCATATCCATGGTCCGGTCTATGCCAACAAAGGCTCCTAAATAATAAAAAGAAAGAAGAAGAATGATAGTAATAGTAATAGTAAGACGGTGTGGGTTTGCCAGTGCGTTCTGGCAAAAGTACATCGGCTCCGCCACTGTTGGGGCGCTTCTCAAGCCCTCGGGCATCACCGCCCTTTCACGGGAGATGACTTGGACGTTGCACCGCAGACCCAGGTCCACGTCATCTCCTGCTTTCTGGGAGAGGAATACGTCCATCAAAGCTTTTCAATGGGTGGGTGGTTGATGTTCCGATTCTGTCGATTTTTCTAGCGCTTGAGATTGGAACTTGCCTTTAGGCCACTCAACGCCTAGGCCAAGAGCGGCCATGTTCCCCTCCTTGCCCCAAGAGGCCCTGCATCTCAGGGTCTCAGAGCCATCGTAGGATTTCGTAGGAACCTAAACCCGAAACAACTTTGCATCTAAACAGCCCTCCTTGGCGCGAAAAGTCTTCGTTCGGCCGGAGGGTGCTCGGCCCACACGGCTTCCAAAACATGGGAGCTGGGAGCTGCCTCCACATTCGGTTTAGGGTTTAGGGTTTAGGTATTTCCCCAAATGTGGTTTAGGGTTCAGGGATGGTTTGACTTAGGGTTGAATAGGGGTACGCTTCTTCAGGGTTCCTCTAAGAGCGACTAGAGAATTTTGCAGGGCAAAAGGGGGTACCCCTGTTTTTGGAAAGGCTCGAAACACTCGTGGGCTCGTGGTAGATCGGATATTATGGTAGAGAGATGCCGTCACATGACACAGCCCCAGCTCCCGGCAAGCGTACATGTCGCCAGTCCCTCCACAACAGCATCGAAGTGCACACGGCAATCTTCGTCTGCACCCTCCGTGCATGTGGGAGTTCCGGTGGCTCAGCAAGCCGGAGTCGTCACCACGGACTCCATGGAACATGCTCGAGCACAACTTCCAAACGAGGAGCCTCAGCGAAGAATGGCGGACGGCAGACTAAGTTATGAACCCGAACCCGAGAGCCTCTAAACAAGGCCCGAATCCGAAGCAGCTGGCCTGCGCTGCGTGCAGGATCACTTTCATCATTGCAGGTGAGAGCTAGCCTGAACTAACTTGGTAATATACCCTATAATGAAAACCAAAAAACAAAAGTCAAAGCAAACCCCCCAACATCTTATCATGTGGCTACTCATGGCTCCTTCCTTTGCCAGGTCTCAAACTTTCGTGGCCAAGAGGCACTGACTGGCGCGTCGCTTTGCGGTCACGTGCCTGCAGCTCACATCATGGGCGTGAAACGGCATGATCTACTGGTTAGTAAGAACTTGAAGGTTGCTCCTGTTTGTGGAGTTTAGGGTAGGGTCTAGGGTTTAGGGTTGCAGATGACCCTACAGGTGCTTGAACTCGAGACCTTCGACTGACTTGAAGAGAGCCGCTTGACGCAATGGAAATGTAGCCGTACTTGTTTGGGATTGTGCGGGTTGTGTTGGCTAATCGCACCAACTATCCACATGCCCAAACGTTGCTTTCATCTGCGTGGGGCCCTGGCCCAAAACTCCGGCAGGATCGGATTTTCGAGGTTGGATGAGCCCCACCATCTGCCATCGCCTGGTCATTTCCGAGAGTGCATGACTGATTCCGTTGCACTTGGCTTCATGCCAACGAGATGAAACCAGGTCAGGGCAGCCAGCAGCAAGTTGGCCAGCAGCTTCGAGTCTGGGCGGTTGGCAGACTCCTGAAAGCCAGGCAGGTTTGTAGGATGGCAAACCATGACCCTAAACCCTAAGCCCTAAACCCTAAGCACCTCAAACCCTAACTTTCTGAAACTTAGAACCCGGGCTGTCTCGCCTTGACCTCCTTGGTGCGCACCTCCTCCTCTAGCCAGCAGTGCCTTCGAATGTCTGCCTCCGCACAGACATGACAGGTGGAGGGTTTCGGGTTTAGGGTTTCAGGTTCGGGGTTAGGGTTTATCATAGAATCACTGTGATAGGAGGGCTTATGAGGCACAGGAACATGCTCAACTGCCGAGGTTAAAATCAACTGGGCCCTGTTGCCGCTAAGCCAGCGGAATGTGTGCCCATATCTTGACAAGATCATCTTTCTGCCATGGCAAGTTGCCACGGAGGCTCTTGCTTCACGATCGATCGTGAGCATCTTGGAAATGAGGTCCTCTCAAGCAACTAGGCCATGTGACCCCGGGTTCAGGAGTAAGCTGTTAATTGCTGCATGATGTTGGATGCCACCAGGCACATAAGCGTCCTTGGCCTGTTCTGAGACGTAACCAGGCATGCCTGCACAGGAGCCGTTGCAGGACTCACGTCGTCTATTCGCACATGCAGATGGCAGACGGGCTTTGCTGATCCAGCTGGGTCTGAGTGGACACCTTCATACATGTCCGACACCTCGAACTCGCAATGATAGCAACTCAAATCGACCCTCACGCAGTACTTATGTGCAAGCAAGCGTCGGTAAGTGCCAGATTTGATCAGTTTGAAGAGAGCATCAGTTCTGTCGGCATCAAAAGGCAACGTCCTGCGAGTTGCCAGTCTTGACACAGTTGTTTTGTGCTATAGCTAAAATTCAAAGGCGTCAATTTCGCACGCCACCATAAGGTGCTCAAAGTGTCCTATGACTTCCCTTTGCCTGGAAAGCCTGGGCTGCCTTTGAGAAGAAACAGGATCTTGACCGCTGCTGCATAGCCGTGTTTCTTCAAGCCCAGTCCCAGTAATCATGGCATACAGCACACAGCCGGCGGCCCAAACATCGACCTTTGACGACTTAAGTATGGGAGCTCCACATGGGAGGCCAATTCCGGGTCTACTTGCAAGCGGCGCCTCCCTGACAAAACGCCGGCCAGCAGCCATAGACGTGCATCAACATGGGCTCCCGCCCGGCCCTTGAACCGCAAATAACAAAAGCTGAAATCCGAAGTCTCAACGCCCAGCTGGTAGCCAGCCTCTGGGCCCTGGTAGCTGCATGCGCGCTGCCTTTGACAATCACCAAAATGTTGGGGCTTTCTGTGTTTTCGGGCTGCTTTGACGCATTGCGGTGTCCCCCCCTGCGGTTTGGGAGTTAGGGTGTAGGGTTGGGGGCCCTACCCTAAACTCTCCGTCGTTTGGATACGGGTTCGTTGACCGAAGGCGGCAATCTCATCTAGCTGGACTGCAGGCAAGCCTCCAGCACCAGTCGATCCCAACAACTTCGGGGATGCACTACAGTAACTACGGGGTGTGTTGCAGGGGCGTCTGTGAAGCCAAGCCCAAAATGCCAACTCTGGAGAAGGCTTCGCACAAACCTCGCAACGAGCCAACTTCGAACTGATGCCAACTGATGCCAACTGTGGAAGACGAACCTCAGGAACATGCCTTTGAAGAATGCATACCTCGACACGTAACCGGTACAAACAACCAGCAAAAAACGCGCGCGAGGCCATTTTTTCAATTCTAAAGATGCCCACAGCGAGGACAAACGCTCAAGCCAGGGCACTTCTTCCTGCAATTTTACAGTAAGCTGCATATCATCTGGGATCAGGCCCTGGCTCCTGCTGGACAACTTTTTTTGGGTGCAGTCTCCACTGAGCTCTGCACCCCACCCCCCCTCCCCTGCTGGTTGCCTGCGCGCATTCTTCTCAAACTCTTATCCCCTCAACCCCTACCCTCCCTAACCCCATCCCACCCCTCCCAGCCCCCCCCCACAGAGCTGTTTTGGCTCAGGCGCAGCAACTCCGGGGCTGCGTAGTTTGGGGAGCCCACAGATTCGGTGAGGGGAGTCCCTTGGCTGCGATATTCTCAGTGTGGAAAGGCTGGGGGAGGCGGGGAGGTGGGGGTTGGATGGCTGTTGGTAGCTACGAGACCCCTCTATACACCCCTGAAAATCTTATAGGTACCTCATGCCGACCGACAGAACTGTGCACCCAAGTTGCCCCACTCGAACTTTGCTGAAAGGCCAAAGTCTCCGAGCTTCACGTTCATCTCAGGATGCGTTAGGGTTTAGGGTTTAGGGTTAGGGGTTAGGGGTTAGGGGTTAGGGTTTAGGGTTTAGGGTTTAGGGTTTAGGGTTTAGGGTTTAGGGTTTAGGGTTTAGGGTTTAGGGTTTAGGGTTTAGGGTTTAGGGTTTATCGGCCTTCTAAGATTTCAGGTTGTGTCTTGCTTAAGACGTGCCGAACGTATGATCGTCCAGACCCATCCGACTGGGAACAGCTCTTGCACTGCGCGCATCACGCTCCCCGCAACCCGGACGGACACCGACAGCCAGACCCGATCAATCTACCTCATGTGTCTGCTGCCAGGAGCATGTCCTGCGTCTTCACAGCAGGCTCTGGGTTTTGGGCTTTCAAACAGCACAAGGAGCGTTGGAGTCCATGAAGATATTCTCAGGCTTGAGGTCTCGATGGGCCACGCGGTTCCTGAGCTCAAGGAGGCAATGAGCTTCCGATTCTAAGCAGTAAGCGGGTCAAGAATGCCAGGAATGTCAGAAGACTTCCATCAGCCTTTGCTGGCTACAGTAGATTGGAAGAGTAGATACCTTAACCCTTAAAGTAAACCGTCAGCTCTACATGGAATGTTTTTTTGGCAGCTCACCGAACGAAGGCAGGTCTCCGATGGCAAAATCCCACTGCATCAATGATCTGCCGGAAGTATTTTCGTGCCTCCTTGTCCTGGAGCCGATTCCTTGGCATGATGTTGCTTGCACTACGTAGGCTAAACCGCTAATCTTTGCGGGACAAGGTTGACAACACGATGGTTTACAGGCTGAGGGCTCGATACCCCTCTAAACTTAAACCCTACAATGCCCTACGATGAACAAAACCCAGCAGTCCTAAACGAAATGCCTCGAACATCCTACGTCAAGCCGCAAGCCTGCACGGCCTGAGCCACGAGCGTCCCCTTAAGTCAAGGCTCCTCGCAACGATGAGCTCAAACAGGTCACCCCCAGTAGCTCCTTGCTTGCCGCTCCAATCTTGAAAGATAATAGGGCCCCTTAAAAGTTGCGCCTTTGGGTTTTGGAGCTCCTGTTTACAGGTCCTTACGGTAGCACAACGGCCATGTTAGGAGTACATTCAGGGGAACCTTTAGGGGCACAACCTGAGGGGTTATGAGTCTTAATCCCTTGAGCTGGTCTGCGTAAGCGACCGACGAGCTTCTAAGAAGCTTACTTCTTGAACATCTGAACGTGTGCTTCTGAAGCCTGCATCGTACAATCTAGGTTCGCGCCCCTGTGGCGCTCCTATGTTGGTGGCTTTTCTATCAGTTAGTGACCCTTCCTATTACCTCCTAAAGGTAAATGAAAGAATGAAAGGACCCTGATTTACAAGCCCTAAACCCTAAACCCGAAACCCTAAACCCTAAACCCTGATTTACAAGCCTCAAGCGGCCAAAGCCTCTGTGTCTGCCAAGTCCATGAAGCGGAGAGCTCGTCTTCGGGTCTGGGGAGGGGTGTCTAGGCGCCCGCGCTGTTCTCGAGCCCCCTCCTCATGGACCCCCCCCCCCCCCTCCCCCCACCAAAGTTTAGGGTTGAGGGTTTAGGGTTTAGGGGACCCTGACCGTTAACTCTAAACCCTGAACCTAAACCTAAACCCACCAAGAACCACAGGGGGGCAAGAGGGCAAACCCGAAACTTGAATCGCCTTTGACCCTGAACCCCAAAACTTGAACCGCAAACCCACCACGAACCACAGAGGGGAGGGGGAAACCCTAAACCTACACCTCAACCCTAAACCTTGAACTCGAAACCCTAAACTCTAAATCCGCCATGAACCACGAAACCCGACAGCCTAACCCTAAACCCACCACGAACCACAGACCCTGAACACAACACAGGGGTAGGGGGGGAGGGAAGGGTGGAAACCTCAAACCCCAAAAGCACCATACCATAAACCACAGGGGTAGGGATACCACCGGGGCAGCGGGGGGTGGGGGGTGCGTGGATGCTGGTGCATATATAGGGCCTTAGGGTTTATGTCCTAAGCCCTAGGGGTTTAATTAGGGTGCAGGGTTTGGATTTCAGAGTCTGAGTAGACAAGGCTGCCTTGCAGCCCAGGTGCGCTCCATGAAGACGAAGACTGTGCCGTCACATTCCTTAAGGTCTAGGGTTTAGGGTTGTTAGGGTTTAGGGTTTGGGGTTTAGAGATCAGGGTTTGGGGTTGTTAGGGTTTGGTTCAGAAACAGTACCCGCCTGCAGCAATTGCGCATGGACAAGCCCATGCATGACAGATGCCAGCCCTGATGTTTCAGACAATGCCTTTTATGATGATAGTTCTAATCATGCTGCATCCTGCTTACATACACAGATCATATACACCACTACGGCCTACTGCTGCTATCGAAGCTACTGCTACTGAAGCTGCTGCTGGTTCTACGGCTCACTTGAGGGTTGATAGCCGAGCACAACGAAAGCAAGCCTGGATTGATGTGAGTATGGAGAAGATACACCGCACACCACTACCATCACCACCACACTCCACACTCCGCACTCCTACAGTTACCTCTATCTGTATATGGTAGAAAGTATACAGATAGTGAGCTAGTGTATACAGATATACCGTACGAAATGTATCTGTGTGAGGTAGGAACAAGTCCAATCGCAGGTTCTTCGAGGCATATTGGCACCGAAATCCGAGTGTGGCTTCGGACTACTCGGATATAGCAGCCTTCCCTGGAAGCCAAAAAAAAAATTACAAACCACTGAGCCATCAACCATAGGCCCAGACTCAGGCTAGAGGGCTTGGAAGCAAGGTGCTGTCACCTCCATCAGTTGGATGATATTCGGATGGCGAAGTCCGCGCTGGTTGTCAATTTCGCGCTGAATCTTGGCCTCAGTCCGTGCATTCCGATGTTCTTGAAGACGAAGCCCTGTGAGGCGCCAAACCCTCAACCTTTGAAGCAATTCAAGCTTGGAGTTCTCACACCGTGACGCATGCTGAGCAATATCAGCATGATTGTGCAAGTGCAAACGTACGCGCGCGTCTGTGTGTGTGTGTGTGTGAGTGAGTGAGTGAGTGAGTGAGTGAGTGAGTGAGTGTGTGGTCGCACGATAGTGGTTTGAGCCCAGCCTTCAGAAATCGGCCCCCAATGAACCCCAAACCCCCGAACCCTATAATAGCCCCCAACCCCTACATATTTAAACGACATCCCAAGTTCATGTTTCCTCGATTGTCAAGGATACATAACATAGATGTACGTACATGAATGACTGGCAATTGATGAACAAGCAAAATACATTTAGAAAACAGTTAGAAGGAATTCAATATATACATATATATATATATACAGCTAATTTTACATACATACATTCAGACATACATACATGTGTAATCATGTGTACATATTGTGCATGCGCGAGCTTTAGCAAAACAGTTTCGCCTAGTCCGAGTCTGCGCGGCTGGAGCGCGGCACGACTTTTTTTGTGCTTGAGGTCGGGGCTGGATCCATCCGACTCGTGTTGATGATCTTGACCGCAACGTTGTTTCCACTCTTCGTGTGAGTGGCCATGTTGACGCTTGCAAACTGGCCGCGGCCTGGGCACTGGCTTCAAAGGGCCCTTTGAGAAGCAACTCGAGTTGGGAGTTTTTGTTTCTCACAACCTCCGTTAAAATTTTTTGGTCACGGTCCCGCCATTTGACCAGGTGGCCCAAGAATCCACCAATCTCATAGTCCCCCACGATGGTGCCCATGAAAGCAGTCATTGCAGTGCAGATTCAGTCGTGACTTCCGCG